GGGAGAATGTCCACTTACCGTTATCCTGCTCCCAAATAGGCTTATGTTTTATGAACATAATCGGAACCATTTTACAGATCAGATCGCATTCACACATCTCCAGAAGTTGCATTGCAAGCGCGTAACGGACGTTGTCACCATAATAACAGAAAGGTGAATCATTCTATTAAGTTTGGTTGTAATACAATTAAATGAAGAACAAGCATTCCGTTTTTTTTTTAACAACAACAATAAATACATGTAAAATGTAATGATATCATAAAATCGCCTGGATAAAAGACACGCATTGCTGTTGAACCAGCCTTATAGTAGGCGTAAGGAAGGGCTTGGGTTTTGAACATATGAAATGGAAAACAAGTAATTTTTACAGGTTACAGATAACTTATAAGAGGTTCACCGGTATCATCTCTTGTTTCATGATGGGCATGGACACGTAGCCTACATCATGGAGGGGGTTTTACGCACGTCCAAAACGCGACCTGCATGGCTAAAATATGTGGGCCTGCCTACAATGCATAGATAAAAGGGGAATGTCAGCGCACTGTTTTACTCCTTTCAAACTTGATATTTTAATAAAGATTAGGTGATTAAGATTATTTTCCAAGCGGTCTCAGGAGCCAAACCCTTTATCGAAAGTCTTGACTACTTCGCGATTGCATTGGGCAGACAAAAAAACCCTTAATTGAGAAGAAGGGAGGCTATGCTTGGTTTTTAATAAAATCAAATGAAATTGAAAAAAACATGAGTTTATGTTTCTAAATTCGAAGTATACAGGCACCAAAAGCACATTAGGCTCCTCTTGTTCCATGCGCATATGGACAGTGTGCGTCATGGCTGGATAGGCTGTTTCCGCTGTCAACATTCATACCATAATGAACTGCGTAATGGCTAAAATCAGCTTTTGGTTGGTCTTAAATATCCCTCTCAGCGCTGCCTGAAATTAGCACTGGGGATCATGTTTTTAAGGACACACCTCAAAAATGTCCACCCCATCTGAGCGCAAGCGAGCTGATATAAGACAGGTAAATTGCCGAATCTGGCGTTAGGGCTGGAAAGTGCCCATTTTTACATGACGAAATTGCAAACTAACTCCACAGAGTTTCTCAGAGCAGATCAAACTGTTCTGGTACATCGCTGCACACTACAACATGAACTTCCTGGAAGGGACCATTGACTCACAAATTAGCCAGTTTGCCAAACAGTGACATGATGATCCACAATCTGTGTCTAAGCTAATTGGCTTTTGTGGCTGTGTCTAGAGATCAGTCAGTTACCAGGGTTGTATTCATTAGGGCACACCATATCAAAAAGTTTTGCAACTGAAAACGGAAGCAAGCATTTTTTTGGGGGGGGGGGGGGGGGGGACAAATTCAGGTACTCCCTGTTTCAGTATGTTTTCTTCCATTTTGTACCTAACTAATACGACCCACATGTCACTCATGGTGGGATGTTCACTGCTGGCGGTATGCAGCATGGGCTGAATGGACAGGATGGGCATATTGCTAACTTTGAGACAAACTAGCTTTGATGTGACAATAAATGATGATCATGCATCTTTATTCCTCTATGCTTTTCTATACAGTAGCTAGCTGTAAAAACAACAAATAAACAACGACATTTATTGACCACCCATGTACTGTAAACGTAAATGAGTTGCCAATCGCATCAATCAGCTTTCCAGTCTTTACTAGTCTCCAGCCAAAATTGTAGATATGGTGTGTTTTGCCTTTGTATAGGAAATATCATTGATGACAAAAAATATAGGCCAACTGTCAATAATAACTTTTTGTAAATGACATAACCGACAGTTTCTTTTTTCATTGCACATTTACCGAAGGGAAGTCTTTTTTTTTTGTTTCTTCTCTGAAACCCTTTCAATCACATATATCTGTCTTGTTTATCGTTGCCCCAGCCATGGTAAGTAAGTCATTGATTGAGTGCTGAGTGCTGAGATATGGAACCCCCATCAGTCCTAAACATCCTGTGGTGCCGCTTCCTCTGGAATCGGATGCTAATGTGGCTCAAAGGAATAGTCTGAGCTTTTATTTAATGGTTTTTACGCACTGATTTTGCCTCGGACTACATTCTTCTCACCCATTTATCCTCTCGGTCTGAGGGCTTTCAGGACCATGATCTCCCTGAAAATGAGCTAACAATGAGTCCTGCAAGTCATGTCTCTCTGCCTGTCTGCCATTAGAACAAGATGCAGCTGCATTGTATTAAATCAAATCTAGCTTTATTTCAAGTGTATTTTTAATCACACAAGCTAACATATGGAATTGTTTTAAGATGGTCATACCATGGATCATTTAGCTATTTGATTTTGAATTTTAGGACCCCTGTAGGTATAAAGGAAAACAAACAAAAAATTATTCAATATTGAATTTGCCATTTTCTACCATAGCCCAGAGAAACGCATTCAATAACACATTAATAAATGGCAAAACAGACAGGCACAGTCAAAAACAATACAAGGTAACAAATTGAATTGTTTTAAGATGGTCAGACTATGGACCGTTTAGCTATTAGATTTTGAATTCTAGGACCCTGTAGGTATAAAGATTATTTTTAAATACATGATTGAATTTGCCCTTTACTACTATAGCCCATAGAAACGCATTCAATAACACATTCATATATGAATGGCAAAACATGATTTTGGCCCCGTTTTAGCTGTTCCAGACAAGTTTTTGAGATTTGCCAAAATCCCAATGTCGTTGCCTCCTCGGTGTGCGCAGCCGTCACTGACGCTTGTTTAATGTGAGCTGGTCAAAGACGCAATCCAAGGGCTACGGATCTTGTCTTTGAGCTGTCCCAGACGTCCCGATATTTTGGTTTTATCCGCACAAAATCTACAATGCTCTTGTAGTGTAAGATGTGCAAAGACACATTTTGAGAACAGCGATGACATTGATTCGCATCTTCCAGAATGTGTAGACTCTAGAGCAGGATCGATTACTACTACTAGTATTTGTCTGTCCTTGCCTTTAAAGTGGCAATATGTAACTTTTTGGGCGACCAGACCAAATTCACATAGAACAGATCTACCGCTTCTTAGACTTTTCTATGTGTGCTATTTCTATGCTTCCCATTAAGTTTCGTTTTTGCGTCTTTTACATTTGGTTTTGTACATCAGCTTCAAACAGCAGAAAATGCAATATTTTTGGTTAAGGAAAATTTATTTAACAGCTGTTATTCAATTCAATGTTATTCAATTGAATTATAAATATTGTCTAGACATTTCAACTCTGTATGGCAAGCGTGAATGTCTGACTGAAAACGTTTGAGGCAGCTTTGAGCCACAGCTTGCTGTAGCTATGTTAAATCTAATCGCATCATTGTTTTCGCAAGACAGTGTGGTATCGACAATCCTCACGACCAAGTGAAGAATCTTGTAGTGTGTGACACCCCTGTGCCACATCGTTTAGTGTGTGCACCACTTCATTGGCAAGACAAAAAAATATACAGGAAAGGCCGTCGTTTAATGTGAGAGGCTCAGCCATGTTAGGATTTTGAATTTCTGTGGATGCATTTGAGTTTGTGTGGAATCAGAACATAGAAAGCTATCAGAGCCTGCTGCTCCAAGACCTGCGCTTTATCATTACTATACTGCTGATGTTGAGCATGAGTTTCCAGGAGTTGAAATTACAGTTTAGTGCAGAAGTGCTTGGCTTTAGAATTTGTTGATTTAGCCTATCTAGAGTGATGATGATGAGGAAGAGTGCACATTCATCCCTGGGTCTCTTTGTTGTGGTCATCTGTAAAGAAAAAAGCCACTGGTTATGGCATCTCCAAGTCTAGATCAAAGTGATCTTAACCCATCAACCTCCATCAGGATAACCTCATTGTCCCAGAGAACTCACTTTGCTTACTGATGGGCATTTCTCTCTCAGACCAGTAATCTGATTTCACATCTACACTGGAGCTGAGTCTTACAATTAGATTGGTTGTATTGGGTTCCCTGCCGACAGATAGCTTGTCTCAAATGATTGAGTGAAGTACTTACTGTACAGAGCCCAATATACTTACCATGTTCCTTACCATAGTCATTGTGGCTGTCAACAGACAACAGTGGTCCATCTATTGCACAAGACCAGAGGAGGCTGATGGGAGGAACTATAGGAGGACAGGCTCATTTTAATGGCTGGAATGGAATAAATGGAACAGTGTCAAACACATCAAACATATGGAAACCACCACACTGGGCACACACTGGTTGAATCAACATTGTTTCCACGTCATTTCAATGAAATTACATTGAACCAACGTGGAATAGACATTGAATTGACGTCTTTGCCCAGTGGGACATGTTTGACTTCGTTCCATTCATTCATACCAGCCATTACAATGAGCCCTTCCTCCTATAGCTCCCCCCACCAGCCTCCTCTGCACAAGACAGTCACTGATCCAGTAGACCTAAGACATGAGTCCTTTTCGATATCGATGTTTCTATTCTTCACTACGAGTCCAGATGGATTCACACTTCCCCACAATCTTGTTATAGAAACCATTTTGTGGGAAATGTCATCATTATTTAATTACTCTCTCTGAGAGTAGCTCTCCTCTTAGGCCTCTCGCTCAGCATCAGTATTCTACATGAACATTGAAGGAGGGAATATAGGAGTCCCAGAGACTATTGTCCCTGAACATAATATACTGAAATTGCCTATCATCATCTTTTTGATTCATCCATTGTTTGAAATGCGTAGTTTTGTGTTTTCAAACCAGAAAACTGATCTACCAAAATATTGTTTCTTTATTTCTTCCAATCTGATCTTTTTACAGTATATTATTGACTGGCAGAGATCACAAGTTATAAGTTGATGATGCTAGACATTTATTGTTGTGTTTGCATGTATTTTATAGCTTATACAGTTATTGACCTGGTTCAGGGTAGACTGTAGAAAGAGGGTTCTCAGTATAATGTACTCCAACATGTTTAGCTGATTGTGATTCAATTATTTAGTTTAGTTTTATGGGTTGGATTAAATTCCGATAATTTGCAATTATTTGAGATTCAGTTGGGGTCAGTACCATTTCAGTCCCTGTCAGTTGAACTGGACATGGAATCTCTCCATTGGAGTCTAATTCAATTCCTGAATCAACAGGAATTTTCATGAAAAATTTACACTAACCCATCATAGGAGATTGCTTTTAGTGAAAGAACTGGTGGCACTCTAACTAAGTAGGATGTCTTAGTGGTCTTAGCTGTCTTTCAGTTAAATCCCGCAGGGACATAGGTTGCCCATCAAGGAGGTCTCTCTGAGGACATCTGAGACTGCTTGGGGGGAAAGGCCGTCTGTCTGTCCCGTCCATCTGATCAGCAGTCAGGTGTCTGAGGAAGAGCATCATCCATGCATGTGGCCAAAGACTGATGTGGCCAGAGGGCACTGTTGGGGGGGACGTCACAGGGCCACTCCCTCTGACAGGTCTGAGTGGGTGGAGCCATAGCTGATGATGTTGAATTCTGTGGGAATTGTGAGGGTCTGGCTGGGGTTGGGCACTTTACTGTCCTGTAGAAATATACAGTCAGAATAACATAACATTTCTTTGGAAGAATGCTAACTCACAGATAGGGACTAAGACTGAAATACTATATTATATGAATAATTTTACACATTAAACTCCTATATTATTTGGGAGCTACATTACCTAACTGGATGTGCAATCAATGATAAGGGCTATGATATAGCAGAAAATGGTTAACAGAATAAAATAAATATGATCATGAATATATGTATAGAATCAAAATGTTTTTTTCTTACATCATCAAACTTTCTGCCACTGTAGATAGCGTTCTTGTCAATGAAAGTGAGCATGATCCAGTCACAGATAATGGAACACTGGAATGAATAAAAGTAACGTCAATGAATGAGTAGGAGTTGGCACAACCATTACTGGAAGCTGGTACTGTACAAACAGATATCAACTCATACCACAAGAGTGCTGAATCAAACTCACTATTCCAACTGATGTCATGGCTGTCACTGTGTTGATGATAGTTGGGATGATGCTGAATCGTCCAGCCTGGAGATGAATTATTACAGAGTATGACATTGACTAAGTGCATAACCGTATGTCACTAACTAATTGTTCTGATCAACTGGTTATTGATGAATTGAGTACTGATGAAGGAGGTTAAAGGAGCAACTTCTTACATGTCCATGAACTATGACATCAAGACGAATCCCAAAGGCCTTGATAAGTGTCCGGAACTCTTCTCCATCTTTGCTGTAATACTTGGCAAATCTAAACAGAATTGTCAAAGTCAAACAACCATAGAAAAAGGGGGAAAGAGTCCTCCATGCCTCTTCATTACCAAGATACAGCAGAAATAGTCTCAAAATATTACAGTAGGTCATGTAAATGAGATGGCAAGAGTAAAGAGATGGTCGTATTCACTAAGCACCAAACGGAAGAAAGCTGACTAAAACAGGGAGGAACCACTTGAACTTGTCCAATAAGAAACACTTGTTTCCGGTTTCTGTTGCAAAACATTTGCTGTGGTGTGCACTAATGAATACGACCCAAGCATTCACAAGATGCTATGAAGAGGCTCACCTGAAGTTGTAACCAGAGCTGGGCAGGTTCTTCCGAAGGTCCAGGCGACGAAATGAGTATGTGGGTTTACACTCCGAGGGGTCCAGGTCAAGGTCACACTTCCAGTTAATGAAGACCCCAATCACTCCCCCCTGACAGGATACAATCCATTAGCTCTCTAACTAAACCATTACAGTGCTCTATCCAACACAACTTCACATTCCTCACTATTGTTGATTGTCTTTTTTATTTTTTATTGCCATTATCTATTATTTCCGTTATCAGTAATCACTGTCAGATTCAGAAATATTAGAGACACACATATTGTTAGAGACATTAGACCTAGATGGAAGATTGTGTCTTTGTGTGTCCTGTGAGCCCTGAATAATAAGTGTTCTCTATACTTAATATGATTTGTAAAATGGGATATACATTTTGACTGTATGTACAGTGCCTTGCAAAAGTATTCATCCCCCTTGGCGTTTTTCCTATTTTGTTGCATTACAACCTGTAATTTAAATTGATTTTTATTTGGATTTCATGTAATGGACATACACCAAATAGTCCAAATTGGTGAAGTGAAATGAAAAAAAAAATCAGGGTTGGGTTATAAAAAAAATATCAGAAACTTTGAACATCCCACGGAGCACCATGAAATCCATTATTGGAAAATGGAAAGAATATGGCACCACAACAAACCTGCCAAGAGAGGGCCGCCCACCAAAACTCATGGACCAGGCAAGGAGGGCATTAATCAGAGAGGCAACAAAGAGACCAAAGATAACCCTGAAGGAGCTGCAAAGCTCCACAGCGGAGATTGGAGTATCTGTCCATAGGACCACTTTAAGCCATACACTCCACAGAGCTGGGCTTTACGGAAGAGTGGCCAGAAAAAAGCCATTGCAAACACATTTGGTGTTCGCCAAAAGGCATGTGGGAGACTCCCCAAACATATGGAATAAGGTACTGTGGTCAGATGAGACTAAAATTGAGCTTTTTGGCCTTCAAGGAAAACACTATGTCTGGCGCAAACCCAACACCTCTCATCACCCCGAGAACACCATCCCCACAGTGAAGCATGGTGGTGGCAGCATCATGCTGTGGGGATGTTTTTCATCGGCAGGGACTGGGAAACTGGTCAGAATTGAAGGAATGATGGATGGCGCTAAATACAGAGAAATTCTTGAGGGAAACCTGTTTCAGTCTTCCAGAGATTTGAGACTGGGACGGAGGTTCACCTTCCAGCAGGATAATGACCCTAAGCATACTGCTAAAGCAACACTCGAGTGGTTTAAGGGGAAACATTTAAATGTCTTGGAATGGCCTAGTCAAAGCCCAGACCTCAATCCAATTGAGAATCTGTGGTATGACTTAAAGATTGCTCTACACCAGCGGAACCCATCCAACTTGAAGGAGCTGGAGCAGTTTTGCCTTGAAGAATGGGCAACAATCCAAGTGGCTAGATGTGCCAAGCTTATAGAGACATACCCCAAGAGACTTGCAGCTGTAATTGCTGCAAATGATGTCTCTACAAAGTATTGACATTGGGGGGGTGAATAGTTATGCACGCTCAAGTTTTCTGTTTTTTTGTCTTATTTCTTGTTTGTTTCACAATAGAAAATGTTTTGCATCTTCAAAGTGGTAGGCATGTTGTGTAAATCAAATGATACAAACCCCCCAAAAATCCATTTTAATTCCAGGTTGTAAGGCAACAAAATAGGAAAAATGCCAAGGGGGTTGAATACTTTCACAAGCCACTGTATGTATATTGCGGGTGTAAACGTACAGTCCTGCAGAGCTCGCTGAACTTCTCCCTGGCCTGTTCTGCGATGTAACCCAGCCGGAAGATGGGGCAGTAGGGGTGTTTCTCCTCATTGTAATGACACTTATTCAGATATTTCTGCCCATTTCGTTTGTTTGGTTTGATGTTTCCTCTGCCAAAGAGATAAGAGAAGATTGCTTGTAGAAACAGTTGAGACTGCATATTTGACGGGGATACAGTTTCCTATATCATACAGTTCTTTAAATCACCTACTTATGGCTCCTTGTCAGTGCATTGAACTTGTATTGCAGCCTGAGGTGCGTGTGTGTGTGTGTGTGTGTGTGTGTGAGTGGGTGCGTGCGTGGGTTTTGCATTCTGTGTGTTGTTGAGGTTGATGTGTGTGTGACTGTGTGTCTGTGTACATGCATGTGTGTGTGTGTTGTTGAGGTTCATACTATACCTCAGCACTTTAAATTTGGGGAAATGGATGGCATTCTTGATGTAAACAGTGAAATTGATGGCTTCTTCTAACGCCGGCTCCCTGGAGGAGACAACAACAGCTTAGACCCTTGTGCTACAATTATTTTACAAGTGAATTATTCCAGATTAGGGAGACAGTAGTTCTGTTTTTGACTACCTCCTATTTAAAATGTAATATTGATATTGACCCTTACCGTATTGCCGCATAGTCCTCAATAGGACACCAGGTCTGAATCTCACAGGTCTTGAAGGTCTGGTTGTAATAGGGAACACAGCGCCCAGTTCTCTGTCCTACAGGAAACACATCAGACTAAATGCATTAGCTGGAAAAACCATATACTGACAGACAGACAGACAGACTCATAGAACATCTGGCTTAGTGAGACTTTTCACTTCATCCCCTCCTTTACAGTGCGTACCATTGCCATCGAAGTCCACTTCTCCTGAGATGCAGTCCGAGTCCTTTGAGCAGTTGGCATTGGGAACGGTAAAATGCTAAGAAAAAAAGAAAACATCATAGTTCAGACGGCATCATTAACTGGCTTTCCTTCTCTGTGATGGTATCTTTTCCAGGAGACAGTGCTAGTTGCAATAGTAGGGTATGGAGCAAAGCACACAACTCAATATAAAGCCCTAGTATTGATCATGTGAAAACGACTGCAGTTTTTATTTAGCTCATATTTGGTTTCAGGAGAACACATGAGTGTGGGGAATGGTTGTGACCTCTCACCTCAGCACACGTGCCTTGCCTCTGGTTGTGTGTGACGACTCGTCTCAGTATTGTGCTGATCACGTCACCGCCCTGCAGGTGCAATGCCACACAGAAGAATATACAGTATATGTTGGTAATCACATTGGCTACATGTTAAAAACATACAGTAGCTAGCTACAAATTGCATCTTCTATAGGACATCTATTTGACCTATAATCCTTGCTTTATGAACAAAGAGACAAAGTGCATGTTCAGAATGGACTGCATTGCAGTCGGTGACTGCAAGCTGACTGATCTACAAATCACCCTTTATCCTAAAATATCTACTATTATTTATAGATCAGTCAGGTTGCTCTATCAGTGATCTTGGGACTGAGCGAAATTGATGCTCTCAAGTGGGCTTACCTCTGAGGGTCGGACATATTCCACCATGTCCAGAACGTGGTCCCCCTGCAGTGCTGTGCCTTTCATTTTAGTGTAGACTGAGCTCTCTGGCCTCGTCTCACTGTCCTGATAGGCTTTCTGACTGATAAAGACATACCTGTAGTAGGGCGATATGACAGATGCAGATTAACTTCTGTTCTGAGGACAAATTCAATCCCTCCAGGGTGATTTTAATTGCACTTTACTGCATTGCCATGCTTGTGCTTATTCAGACAATGAAGATATCAATTCAGATCTCTTATGGGTTATGATATATAGATTTTGAAGGATACTTAAAAATGATCAACTTTATTTGAAATGTTTGAAAATCCAATGCTGAAATATAATGTTTATCAGTACAGTAGACAGAGAGACATCTTCCTCTAAAGGACCATTAAAAAAAACAAAATCTATGAAAATTGGCCTATTTGGATCACATTACACAATGATGGTGGTCAGTAATGGCCAATTAGAATACAGCTGTCCCGCTTGACGACATTAACCTGTACAGTGGGGAGAACAAGTATTTGATACACTGCCGATTTTGAAGGTTTTCCTACTTACAAAGCATGTAGAGGTCTGTAATTTTTATCATATGTACACTTCAACTGTGAGAGACGGAATCTAAAACAAAGATCCAGAAAATCACATTGTATGATTTTTAAGTAATTAATTTGCATTTTATTGCATGACATAAGTATTTGATACATCAGAAAAGCAGAACTTAATATTTGGTACAGAAACCTTTGTTTGCAATTACAGAGATCATACGTTTCCTGTAGGTCTTGACCAGGTTTGCAGACACTGCAGCAGGGATTTTGGCCCACTCCTCCATACAGACCTTCTCCAGATCCTTCAGGTTTCGGGGCTGTCGCTGGGCAATACGGACTTTCAGCTCCCTCCAAATACTTTCTATTGGGTTCAGGTCTGGAGACTGGCTAGGCCACTCCAGGACCTTGAGATGCTTCTTACGGAGCCACTCCTTAGTTGCCCTGGCTGTGTGTTTCGGGTCGTTGTCATGCTGGAAGACCCAGCCACGACCCATCTTCAATGCTCTTACTGAGGGAAGGAGGTTGTTGGCCAAGATCTTAAGATACATGGCCCCATCCATCCTCCCCTCAATACGGTGCAGTCATCCTGTCCCCTTTGCAGAAAAGCATCCCCAAAGAATGATGTTTCCACCTTCATGCTTCACGGTTGGGATGGTGTTCTTGGGGTTGTACTCATCCTTCTTCTTCCTCCAAACACGGCGAGTGGAGTTTAGACCAAAAAGCTCTATTTTTGTCTCATCAGACCACATGACCTTCTTCCATTCCTCCTCTGGATCATCCAGATGGTCATTGGCAAACATCAGACGGGCCTGGACGTGCGCTGGCTTGAGCAGGGGGACCTTGCATGCGCTGCAGGATTTTAATCCATGACGGCGTAGTGTGTTACTAATGGTTTTCTTTGAGACTGTGGTCCCAGCTCTCTTCAGGTCATTGACCAGGTCCTGCCATGTAGTTCTGGGCTGATCCCTCACCTTCCTCATGATCATTGATACCCCACGAGGTGAGATCTTGCATGGAGCCCCAGACCAAGGGGTGATTGACCGTCATCTTGAACTTCCATTTTCTAATAATTGCGCAAACTGTTGTTGCCTTCTCACCAAGCTGCTTGCCTATTGTCCTGTAGCCCATCCCAGCCTTGTGCAGGTCTACAATTTTATCTCTGATGTCCTTACACAGCTCTCTGGTCTTGGCCATTGTGGAGAGGTTGGAGTCTGTTTGATTGAGTGTGTGGACAGGTGTCTTTTATACAGGTAACGAGTTCAAACAGGTGCAGTTAATACAGGTAATGAGTGGAGAACAGGAGGGCTTCTTAAAGAAAAACTAACAGGTCTGTGAGAGCCGGAATTCTTAATGGTTGGTAGGTGATCAAATACTTATGTCATGCAATAAAATGCAAATTAATTACTTAAAAATCATACAATGTGATTTTCTGGATCTTTGTTTTAGATTCCGTCTCTCACAGTTGAAGTGTACATGTGATAAAAATTGCAGACCTCTACATGTTTTGTAAGTAGGAAAACCTGCAAAATCGGCAGTGTATCAAATACTTGTTCTCCCCACTGTATGTGGTTACCATCGATGCATTTAATTGCGAGTGAAATGCATTTCCTCACCACAAAGGGGCTATTCTCAGCGAATGACTCATTTCACATCACAGTGGCTTGTAAAGCTATTGAAAGCAATAATATGGGTACACTGACAGAACATTCGATCTGACCTTACAAGCCAACCTATATTTTTTTTAAGGTACCTTTCTTTTCTTCTTATGCTTTCCAATACCAGACTTAACGTTGCCTTGTTTGGCAAAATATCTGCATTATCTAAGGCAGGTCACAGATAATGCAACAGAAATACTCTATCACAGAAAAAGTCAGGATAGTTACACACAAAAACAACACTAATTCAAATCACATTTTTGTCTATCTATTTTTTAATGCATGCATAAACAGGAGGCCAGTGCTTACCAGATGAAATAGGTGATCACAAAAACCTGAACCCCCCTATATATGACTCCAAGTTTTTTGTTTTTAACCACCATTACCTTCGGGGTCTCATAGTCCCAGAAACCAATAAAATAATCCTTTATAAACTCAAGCAGTCCCATTATGATTTCTGAGTTTATCAGCTGTCTGTTCAGATGTGAGGTCCTGAGTGACTTGTTCGCAGATACTTCCAAGCTTGTGTAATGAGTCAGTCAGTCAGTCAGTCAGTCAGCCACCCTCTCTCTCTCTCTCTCTCTCTCTCTCTAACGCCCCCTGCCTCATCCCCTGTTGTGCTGTTCTCAAAAATGAATTGCATGGATAAATTCAAGATAAAATGTGATTCACTAATTTGGTTGATTTTTCATGGTAAAGATTAAATATAGTGTTTGTTTTCTTTATTCAGACCTACACAAAAAACACACATTTTATTTCTGCTGGTAGCTGATAGGAACACTTCTCTCTCTCTCTCTCTCTCTCTCTCTCTCTCTCTCTCTCTCTCTCTCTCTCTCTCTCTCTCTCTCTCTCTCTCTCTCTCTCTCTCTCTCTCTCTCTCTCTCTCTCTCTCTCTCTCAATTCAATTTAAGGGCTTAATTGGCATGGGAAACGTATGTTATTTATTTATTTATTAACATTGCCAAAGCAAGTGAAGTAGATAGTAAACAAAAAAGAAATAAACAATAAATATTAACAGTAAACATTACACTCAGAAGTTCCAAAAGAATAAAGATATTTCAAATGTCATATTATGTATATACAGTGTTGGAACAATGTGCAAATAGTTAAAGTACAAATGAGAAAATAAATAAACATAAATATGGGTTGTATTTACAATGGTGTTTGTTCTTCACTGGTTGCCCTTTTCTTGTTGCAACAGGTCATTGCTGCTGTGATGGCACACTGTGGTTTTTCACGCAGTAGATAAGGGAGTTTATCAAAATTGGGTTTGTTTTCGAATTCTTTGTGGATCTCTGTAATCTGAGGGAAATATGTATCTCTAATATGGTCATACATTTGGCAGGAGGTTAGGAAGTGCAGCTCAGTTTCCACCTCATTTTGTGGGCAGTGTGCACATAGCCTGTCTTCTCTTGAGAGCCAGGTCTGCCTACGGCGGCCTTTCTCAATAGCAAGGCTATGCTCGCTGAGTCTGTACATAGTCAAAGCTTTCCTTAAGTTTGGGTCAGTCGCAGTGGTCAGGTATTCTGCCACTGTGTACTCTCTGTTTAGAGCCAAATAGCATTCTAGTTTGCTCTGTTTTTTTGTTAATTCTTTCCAATGTGTCAAGTAATTATCTTTTTGTTTTCTCATGATTTGGTTGGGTCTAATTGTGTTGTTGTTGTTGTCCTGGGGCTCTGTGGGGTATGTTTGTGTTTGTGAACAGAGCCACAGGACCAGCTTACTTAGGGGACTCTTCTCCAAGTTAATCTCTTTGAAAGTTTGGGAATCGCTTCCTTTTAAGTGGTTATAGAATTTAACGGCTCTTTTCTGGATTTTGATAATTAGCGGGTATCGGCCTAATTCTGCTCTGCATGCATTATTTGGTGTTTGTCGTTGTACACTGAGGATATTTTTGCAGAATTCTGCATGCAGAGTCTCAATTTGGTGTTTGTCCCATTTTGTGAATTCTTGGTTGGTGAGCGGACCCCAGACCTCACAACCATGAAGGGCAATGGGTTCTATAACTGATTCAAGTGTTTTTAGCCAGATCCTAATTGGTATGTCAAATTTTATGTCCCTTTTGATGACATAGAAGGCCCTTCTTGCCTTGTCTCTCAGATCGTTCACAGCTTTGTGGAAGTTACCTGTGGCGCAGATGTTTAGGCCGAGGTATGTATAGTTTTTTGTGTGCTCTAGGGCAACGGTGTCTAGATGGAATTTGTATTTGTGGTCCTGGCAACTGGACCTTTTTTGGAACACCATTATTTTTGTCTTACTGAGATTTACTGTCAGGGCCCAGGTCTGACAGAATCTGTGCAGAAGATCTAAACTCAGCAAAAAAAAGAAATGTCCTCTCACTGTCAACTGCGTTTATTTTCAGCAAACTTAACATGTGTAAATATTTGTATGAACATAACAAGATTCAACAACTGAGACATAAACTGAACAAGTTCCACAGACATGTGACTAACAGAAATTGAATAATGTGTCCCTGAACAAAGGGGGTCAAAATCAAAAGTAACAGTCAGAATCTGGTGTGGCCACCAGCTGCATTAAGTACTGCAGTGCATCTCCTCCTCATGGACTGCACCAGATTTGCCAGTTCTTGCTGTGAGATGTTACCCCACTCTTCCACCAAGGCACCTGCAAGTTCCCAGACATTTCTGGGGGGAATGGCCCTAGCCCTCACCCTCCGATCCAATAGGTCCCAGACATGCTCAATGGGATTGAGATCCGGGCTCTTCGTTGGCCATGGCAGAACACTGACATTCCTGTCTTGCAGGGAATCACGCACAGAACGAGCAGTATGGCTGGTGGCATTGTCATGCTGGCATTGTCATGTCAGGATGAGCGTGCAGGAAGGGTACCACATGAGGGAGGAGGATGTCTTCCCTGTAACGCACAGCGTTGAGATTGCCTGCAATGACAACAAGCTCAGTCCGATGATGCTGTGACACACCGCCCCAGACCATGATGGACCCTCCACCTCCAAATCGATCCCGCTCCAGAGTACAGGCCTCGGTGTAACACTAATTCCTTCGACGATAAACGCGAATCCGACCATCACCCCTGGTGAGACAAAACCGCGACTCATCAGTGAAGATCACTTTTTGCCAGTCCTGTCTGGTCCAGCGATGGTGGGTTTGTGCCCATAGGCAGCGTTGTTGCTGGTGATGTCTGGTGAGGACCTGCCTTACAACAGGCCTACAAGCCCTCAGTCCAGCCTCTCTCAGCCTATTGCGGACAGTCTGAGCACCGATGGAGGGATTGTGCGTTCCTGGTGTAACTCGGGCAGTTGTTGTTGCCATCCTGTACCTGTCCCGCAGGTGTGATGTTCGGATGTACCGATCCTGTGCAGGTGTTGTTACACGTGGTCTGCCACTGCGAGGACAATCAGCTGTCCGTCCTGTCTCCCTGTAGCGCTGTCTTAGGCGTCTCACAGTACGGACATTGCAATTTATTGCCCTGGCCACATCTGCAGTCCTCATGCCTCCTTGCAGCATGCCTAAGGCACGTTCACGTAGATGAGCAGGGACCCTGGGCATCTTTCTTTTTGTGTTTTTCAGAGTCAGTAGAAAGGCCTCTTTAGTGTCTTACGTTTTCATAACTGTGACCTTAATTGCCTACCGTCTGTAAGCTGTTAGTACCTTAACGACCGTTCCACCGGTGCATGTTCATTAATTGTTTATGGTTCATTGAACAAGCAAGGGAAACAGTGTTTAAACACTTTACAATGAAGATCTGTGAAGTTATTTGGATTTTTACAAATTATCTTTGAAAGACAGGGTCCTGAAAAAGGGACGTTTCTTTTTTTGCTGAGTTTAGGTGCTGCTGTAGGCCCTCGTTGGTTGGTGACAGAAGCACCAGATCATCAGCAAACAGTAGACATTTGACTTCAGATTGTAGTAGGGTGAGGCCGGGTGCTGCAGACTGTTCTAGTGCCTTCGCCAATTCGTTGATATATATGTTGAAGAGGGTGAGGCTTAAACTGCATCCCTGTCTCACCCCACGGCCCTGTGGAAAGAAATGTGTGTGTTTTTTGCCAATTTTAACCGCACACTTGTTGTTTGTGTACATGGGTTTTATAATGTCGTATGTTTTCCCCCCAACCCCACTTTCCATCAATTTGTATAGCAGACCCTCATACCAAAATCAACAAAGCATGAGAAGACTTTGCCTTTGTTTTGGTTTGTTTGTTTGTCAATTAGGGTGTGCAGGGTGAATACGTGGTCTGTTGTACGGTAATTTGGTTAAAAGCCAATTTGACATTTGCTCAGTACATTGTTTTCACTGAGGAAATTAACTAGTCTGCTGTTAATGATAATGCAGAGGATTTTCCCAAGGTTGCTGTTTCCACGGTAGTTATTGGGGTCAAATTTGTCTCCACTTTTGTGGATTGGGGTGATCAGTCCTTGGTTCCAAATATTTGGGAAGATGCCAGAGCTAAGGATGATGTTAAAGAGTTTAAGTATAACCAATTGGAATTTGTGGTCTGTATATTTTATCATTTCATTGAGGATACCATCAACACCACAGGCCTTTTTGGGTTGGAGGGTTTGTATTTTGTCCTGTAGTTCATTCAATGTAATTGGAGAATCCAGTGGGTTCTGGTAGTCTTTAATAGTTGATTCTAAGATTTCCATATTTTTTTGCTGTTTGTTCTTTTTTATAGGGCCAAAAAGATTGGAGAAGTGGTTTACCCATACATCTCCGTTTTGGATAGATAGCTCTTCGTGTTGTTGTTTGTTTAGTGTTTTCCAATTTTCCCAGAAGTGGTTAGTCTATGGATTCTTCAATTACATTGAGCTGATTTCTGACATGCTGTTCCTTCTTTTTCCGTAGTATATTTCTGTATTGTTTTAGTGATTCACCATAGTGGCGCAGTGGTCTAAGGCACTGCATCGCAGTGCTAGCTGTGCTACTAGAGATCCTGGTTCGAATTCAGGCTCTGTCATAGCCGGCCGCGACCGGGAGACCCATGGGGCGGCGCACAATTGGCCCAGCGTCGAACAGGGTAGGGGAGGGAATGGCCGGCAGGGATGTAGCTCAGTTGGTAGAGCATGGCGTTTGCAATGCCAGGGTTGTGGGTTTGATTCCCACGGGGGGCCAGTATGAAAAATAAAATTATGCATGCACTCACCAACTGTAAGTCGCTCTGGATAAGAGCGTCTGCTAAATGACGTAAATGTAAATGTAAATGTAAATGAGTAGGCTCAGGTTTTCCGGGTCTCTATGTTTTTGGTTGGATAGGTTTCTCAATTTCTTTCTTAGGTTTTTGCATTCTTCATCAAACCATTTGTCACTGTTGTTACTTTTCTTCGGTTTTCTGTTAGAGATTTTTAGATTTGATAGGGAAGCTGAGAGGTCAAATATACTCTTTAGGTTTTCTACTGCCAAGTTTGTCCAGGAAGTTGTCTAAAAGGGATTTAATTTGTTGTTGCCTAATTGTTTTTTGGTAGGTTTCGACACTACTTTCCTTCCATCTATAGCATTTCTTAATATTATTCAGTTCCTTTGGCTTTGATGCCTCATGATTGAGTATTGCTCTGTTCAAGTTGACTGTGATTTTGCTGTGGTCTGATAGGGGTGTCAGTGGGCTGACTGAACGCTCTGAGAGACTCTGGGTTGAGGTCAGTGATAAAGTAGTCTACAGTACTACTGCCAAGAGATGAGCTATAGGTGTACCTACTCTCTCTGTGTGTGAAATCAAAATCAAATCCAAGTTTATTTGTCATGTGCACAGGTTACTGCGGGTCTAAACTGAACAGTGAAACGCTTACTTGCCGCTCTTCCTCAACCGTGCATATATTGTAGAGTAACAATGCAAATCAATGTGTGTGTGCTTGCGTGCGTCTGTGCGTTTTTGAATGAATTATGAATGAATCCTTCAGAAATTCAGCTCGCTGCTATTTAATAGATATACGGTGTTTAAACATTGACTGGTTTACCTTTTAATGGTTGAATTGCTTTAAAACTATAATTATATTCAGGCCTAAAAATGACCGCTTGAGGTGTCGGGGTCCTGTTAGCTCATTCCGCGCATGTCACCAGATATGCTTGTCACACAACACGTGCATCAGCCACCGTGGTCTTTCTTGGCGCTTGTGTTTACATGATTGTTTACAGAAGTAGACCTACACATCTAAGACATTTACAGAATAACACGAACAGATCTTTTGTAAATGGGGGGTCTACAGAAAAAGAAGGTAAGGATGTCACTGTTTGTCGGATTAATTATCCAACAATTTAGTTAGCTACGTACTGCTAAAGTTAGCAAGCTCAGGCTGTTTCTCTAAGCACATAATTATGAGTTTAGGCCGAAAAGGTTTAGCTAGCTAGCCATTACTAGCTAGTCAGCTATAACATATCATCTATCTAACGTTAATAATCTAGCTAATTGTGTAATCGCTAGCTAGTGTGATACACTTCTATGTACCTAGCTACTCAACTATTGTATTTCCATGTCTGTCTAGTCTTGGAATCTTGTGCTGTTGATGCATATTGTGTTTTCATCCCTGCTAGCTAGCTAGGTAACGTTAGCCTAGCTGCTACATCTTCACCTGCCTGGTGCATAAAATTGGCAGTAGAGAGAGTACTAAATACTGATAATTGTTTTGCAGAACATTGTCAGCATCAAGCTTTTTACTCTTAAGTCTAGTTACACGTTTTCTAGTAATAAGAATGGCATACACTAACTAAAAAATAGGTTTCTCCAATACCTCACACATTTGTCTGACTTTCTTCAAGTCTTGTGAGTAACTGTAAACCCATGTGTCTTGTGTTAGTATGAGAGGGGCTCTGCCACCAACTACATCACAAGGAACAAAGCCCGCAAGAAGCTGCAGCTGAGCCTGGCAGATTTCAGGTACTTAGTACTACAGACCCACCGCAACCTGGGTCGTATTTATTATTGATCGTATTAGTGTTGTTGTTGGTCGTATTTATTGTTGTTGTCCCTCCCTGTTTCAGTCCGTTTTCTTCCCTTTGGTGCCTAGTGAATACGGCCCTGTACTCTGGCTGTGGATATAATCACATGCTTGCCTTTGGTATCAGTTTCTGCAATGCCAAATTGACAGTCTCTGCATGTTCATCCACTGTTCCACACAGACGCCTGTGCATTCTGAAAGGCATCTACCCTCATGAACCCAAGCACAAGAAGAAGGTGAACAAGGGTTCCACGGCCCCCCGTACATTCTACCTGCTCAAAGACATCCGGTTCCTCCTGCACGAGCCCATCGTTAGAAAATTTAGAGAGTACAAGGTAATGTTTTATACTATTGTTTTGACTACGAGATACAGATATTGTTACATTTTGTGTGTTTTTACTGTTATTTACATTTTCCAGTCAACCATTTTCAAATCAAGGTGAAAATCTAGTAATGCTGGCTTTTCTTGTTCTGTCTTTGGTAGGTGTTTGTGCGTAAACTGAGGAAGGCCTATGGAAAGGCAGAATGGACCGGGGTGGAGAGACTGAGAGATAACAAGCCTGGCTATAAACTGGACCACATCATCAAGGAGAGGTGAGGTCTCAATCCACTGCAGCGCCAATTGCAAACAGCAGACGGCAGTGTTGAGCATATAATTACTTATAGAAAATAATAATGTAATAGGATCTCTGTGGTGTTGGGCCCTGTTTATTGCTCATGTCAGCATAACATTGGTAAAGGATGTCCTACATGTGTGTTTATCTGAGGATTGTGTTTGACTCTATTTGTGTGCCAGGTACCCCACATTCATCGATGCCCTCCGTGACATCGACGACGCCCTCTCCATGTGCTTCCTGTTCTCCACCTTTGCCCGCACGGGAAAGTGCCACGTCCAGACCATCACGCTATGCCGACGCCTCACTGTAGAGTGGATGAACTACATAGTCACATCTCGCTCTCTCCGGAAGGTAGGAAGGATGAGTGCAGACGTGTCCTCACTAACATAAAGAGTTGGTCCACAATGAAAATCTCCAGGTTGTGGATAGACAAAGTGCAGGCATTATTTATTAAGTAATGATACGGACTGTTACAGGTACAATAGCCTCTGAAATGGATTTGTCATTACAATTTTATATACACGTATACTTAGCAGTGTCAGAAGCCTATAATTTTAAGTGTTGTGAAAGTGATTTTCTTTTTTGGTGGTTACTAGTCCACATTGGATATGTCAGAATGAGATGCATGCTATTTGGCAAGAGAATAACTGATAGTTAATATGCTAAATGGCATATTATATTATCTAGTTGCAGCACACTTGACGTTGTTCTGCTTTCCCTGGCAGGTTTTCATCTCCATCAAGGGGATTTACTATCAGGCAGAGGTTCTTGGACAGCTCATCACCTGGATCGTGCCCTACCAGTTTGCCCATGATGTAAGTGCTGAGTGACATCACAGCAGCTCAAAGAGCCATTTCAAATGTATTCAGTCACTGTGTTGAAGGCCCAATTTAGTATTTTTTTTATTTAACCATTATTGTATCAGGTAGACCAATGTATTTTTTATAGATGAGGCCTGAATTACAAATTACAGAAAATACACACATCAATATAAATACAAAATGCAAGCAGAAAGAACAACATGGTCATAAAAAACAAACACATTAATCAGTAATAAGGTCCTCAATCAGCCTTATGAATTGCCCTAGAGGCACCAGAACATCAAATTTATGATCATTTTGAAGATTGTTCCACAAATAAGGTGCAAGAAAACAACTAAAAGCTGATTTACCTAACTCAGTAGAGACCAAAGGACTTTCCAGAGTTAACCATCCGTGAGACTGGGTGTGGTAACTCGTATGTCTAAAGTTTAGTAAAGATGTTAGGTATAGTGGGACTTTTTGTAAAAGGGCTTTATAAATGAAAACATAGCAATGTGTCAACCTACGTGACATCACCATGCTTCACCAAAGGGATGGTGCCAGGTTTCCTCCAGACGTAACGCTTGGCATTCAGGCCAAAGAGTTCAATCTTGGTTTCATTAGACGAGATAATCTTGTTTCTCATGGTCTGAGAGTCCTTTAGGTGCCTTTTGGCAAACTCCAAGCGGGCTGTCATGTGCCTTTTACTGAGGAGTGGCTTCCGTCTGGCATAAAGGCCTGATTGGTGGAGTACTGCAGAGATGATTGTCCTTCTGGAAGGTTCTCCCATCTCCACAGAGGAACTCTGGAGCTCTGTCAGTGACCATCAGGTTCTTGGTCACCTCCCTGACCAAGGCCCTTCTCCCCCGATTGCTCCGTTTGGCCGGGCGGCCAGCTTAGGAAGGGTCTAGGTGGTTCCAAACTTCTTCCGTTTAAGAATGATGGAGGCCACTGTGTTCTTGGGGACCTTCAATGCTGCAGACATATTTTGGTACCCAACCCCAGATCTGTGCCTCGACACAATCCTGTCTCTGAACTCTATTGACAATTCCTTCGACCTCATGGCTTGGTTTTTGCTCCGACATGCACTGTCAACTGTGGGACCTTATATAGACAGGTTTGTGCCTTTCCAAATCATGTCCAATGAATTGAATTTACCACAGGTGGACTCCAATCAAGTTGTAGAAACATATGAAGGATGATCAATGGAAACAGGATGCACTTGAGCTCTATTTTGAGGCCCATAGCAAAGGGTCTGAATACTTATGTAAATGAGGTATTTTTATTTATTTTATAAATTAACAAAACATTCAAATCCTGTTTTCGCTTTGTCATTATGGGGTATTGTGTGTAGATTTATGAGGATTTTTATTTATATAATCCATTTTAGAATAAGGCTGTAACATTACAAAATGTGGAAAAAGTCAAGGGGTCTGAATACTTTCCGAATGCACTGTATATTTGCCAAATCTCTTTCTTGGGGCCTGGAGATTTAAGTTTCAATTGATTAGAGAGCTTGACTTAAGGTTAATGATGGACTGTTTGCAGAAGATAGTGATGAGGTTCTTTTGAAAGACAACCAGGCTCACATTTCAGGGAAAGTCAGGTTTGTGACAACTTTGTAAATGGTTGATAGGACATTGTTATAAACAGCCCTTTAGTGGTGAAATGCTTAAGTGCTCTTAGAACTAATACTGCCATTTGCTCTTTATTAAGGCAAGTTAACCCATAAGAGTCTAAGCCCTGTCTAAGTCGGGGAGGGAGGGAGTGGGTACTACTAAGCTATATGGAATTGTTTTAAGAATGTCATACCAAGTATCATTTTGCTAATTCATTTAGAATTTTAAGCCCCCTAGAAGGATACTTTAAAACAATTTTTTAAAACATTTATTGATCAACATTTTTATTTGTCCTTGCTTTGATTAGCCCTTAAAAAACGCATTGAATAACAGATTCACTACATGGAACAAACATCAGTCCCCCCCCAAAAAAAGTTTGTTCTGAAGTGTCTATCCTATATCTGAGAGTTATAAGAAAGATCAGGAAAAATGTTTGGGACATGTATTTAACCCTTTATTTTTGTCACTAAACAGTCTCCATATATACTTCCATTAACTTTTTTGATTGGTCCCGGGGACCTTCAGACAAGTCTTGTGAGGCCTGTGGGAGTCCTAGAGCAAAACAACCAACATGTTCGTGAAAGTCTCACCTTTACACAGAGGGGTCATATTAGTTTTTAGCCCAAACTGTTCGGATGCTACAGACAGAAGTTGTCAGATCGGCTGTACCGACTCAGACGAGTCCCAGGAAGCAAAACGGAGAACACCATTGTGGGTCATAATAGGTTTTAGGCCAAACCGTTCGGACGCTACAGACGATTTTGTGAGAAGATGTGGTATGACAAAACACTGCTCTAGCTCTTTCACTGCAGTTGCGGAAGTTCTAGACGGATGCGGTGGATTGGCACGGATCCAATGCAAAAAAACATCTCTACCTTAAATTTAGGGATTTTTATGGGGATATCTTTTATGTTAATTAGATTTCTGCGGGGTGCAGACATCGACATTAGGGGGTTAAAGACTTTACGTTGATGCTGTTAATTGTGTTTAAATTATAGGAGCTTGACAAGCAGTTGATGGGGACTCAACATTGACTCTACAATAAAAGCTTTCAGACTAATAATAATAATAATCTGTCTGTCCTTTCTCCCCCAGCACCCAACAGATGTGGACTATAGAGTAATGGCCACCTTCACAGAGATGTACACCACCCTCTTTGGCTTCATCAACTTCCGCCTCTACCAGACCCTTAACCTGGTCTACCCGCCCAAGGTACCCCAGCACCTGGCCTGAACCTGGGTTGTGTTCATTAGGCACCAAGGAAAGAAAACAGACTGAAACAGGGAGTGGCTACCTTAACCTGTCCAATAACAAATGCTTGTTTTTGTTTCCTGTTGCAAAACCTTTTGCTACAGTGTGCACTAATAAATATGATCCCAGATAACCATTTCAGCCATTGCACATCATAAGCGGTGCTTTTTAATTTAAATAATCATGTTCCTTCTGTTGATGAACATGTCTTGTCTTGTAGTGTACAGAGATCATTGGCCTGCTAATTGTTGTGTGTCTGAGCTGTTGCTAACTCCAATCCTCCCTCCAGCTGGACAGCAAAGCTGAGTCAGAGCTAAAGGCAGAGCACGAAGAGGATTATGCCATGGACTCTGAGAGCTACTTGGAGGTGGGCCTTTCATCACTGTTATGATATTAATAAATGAGTCAACGTTATATTAGCTTGATGATTCCTGTATATGTACGACAGGACAGCCAGCCCTCTCTTCATTGTTGTGGGCTACCTGCCCTACCTTGATGGTCCTCTGGCAGTAGAGATGTGTAGTTTGTAAGCGGTGTGTGGAACACTGAACAGGTGCGTTTCATGCTCTCCACAGAAACTGTCTGCCCTGAGTGCCAGTCTGGCGCGTGTGGTTGCCACTGCAGAGGAGGAGGAGAACCAGCTCGACCAGTTCCCTGCCGACGGGGTAAGGAGACACACTGAATAAACTAGCTACAGTGGGGGGAAAAATATTTAGTCAGCCACCAATTGTGCAAGTTCTCCCACTTAAAAAGATGAGAGAGGCCTGTAATTTTCATCATAGGTACACATCAACTATGACAGACAAAATGAGAAAAAAAAATCCAGAAAATCACACTGTAGGATTTTTTTATGAATTTATTTGCAAATTATGGTGGAAAATAAGTATTTGGTCAATAACAAAAGTTTCTCAATACTTTGTTATATACCCTTTGTTGGCAATGACACAGGTCAAACGTTTTCTGTAAGTCTTCACAAGGTTTTCACACACTGTTGCTGGTATTTTGGCCCATTCCTCCATGCAGATCTCCTCTAGAGCCGTGATGTTTTGGGGCTGTCGCTGGGCAACATGGACTTTCAACTCCCTCCAAAGATTTTCTATGGGGTTGAGATCTGGAGACTGGCTAGGCCACTCCAGGACCTTGAAATGCTTCTTACGAAGCCACTCCTTCGTTGCCCGGGCAGTGTGTTTGGGATCATTGTCATGCTGAAAGACCCAGCCACGTTTCATCTTCAATGCCCTTGCTGATGGAAGGAGGTTTTCACTCAAAATCTCACGATACATGGCCCCATTCATTCTTTCCTTTACACGGATCAGTCGTCCTGGTCCCTTTGTAGAAAAACAGCCCCAAAGCATGATGTTTCCACCCCCATGCTTCACAGTAGGTATGGTGTTCTTTGGATGCAACTCAGCATTCTTTGTCCTCCAAACACAACGAGTTGAGTTTTTACCAAAAAGTTATATTTTGGTTTCACCTGACCATATGACATTCTCCCAATCCTCTTCTGGATCATCCAAATGCACTCTAGCAAACTTCAGACGGGCCTGGACATGTACTGGCTTAAGCAGGGGGACATGTCTTGCACTGCAGGATTTGAGTCCCTGGCGGCGTAGTGTTTTACTGATGGTAGGCTTTGTTACTTTGGTCCCAGCTCTCTGCAGGTCATTCACTAGGTCCCCCTGTGTGGTTCTGGGATTTTTGCTCACCGTTCTTGTGATCATTTTGACCCCAAGGGGTGAGATCTTGCGTGGAGCCCCAGATCGAGGGAGATTATCAGTGGTCTTGTATGTCTTCCATTTCCTAATAATTGCTCACACAGTTGATTTCTTCAAACCAAGCTGCTTACCTATTGCAGATTCAGTCTTCCCAGCCTGGTGCAGGTCTACAATTTTGTTTCTGGTGTCCTTTGACAGCTCTTTGGTCTTGGCCATAGTGGAGTTTGGAGTGTGACTGTTTGAGGTTGTGGACAGGTGTATTTTATACTGATAACAATTTCAAAGAGGTGCCATTAATACAGGTAACGAGTGGAGGACAGAGGAGCCTCTTAAAGAAGAAGTTACAGGTCTGTGAGAGCCAGAAATGTTGCTTGTTTGTAGGTGACCAAATACTTATTTTCCACCATAATTTGCAAATAAATTCATTAAAAATCCTACAATGTGATTTTCTGGAAAAAAAATTCTCATTTTGTCTGTCATAGTTGACGTGTACCTATGATGAAAATTACAGGCCTCTCTCATCTTTTTAAGTGGGAGAACTTGCACAATTGGTGGCTGACTAAATACTTTTTTCCCCCACTGTACCAGGTGGTCAGGGGTGTGTTCGAACCAATGCCGCCCACATTCACCTTTCATTGTTTCCATTTAGAAATCACTTTCTTTCCCAAATCTTCAGGACGTGGGTGGAGGAACTATTTGTAATGTCCACTCATCTTAAATGAATAGTTCTGATACAAAAGTCATCCCCGATATTTGATGTTGATGTCCTTATAAATCAATGTTAGGTCAACAGAGAAGGGGTCATTCTTTCCAATGTATTGTGTACTAGGCATTTAAATGATTGCTAAAGAGCTACATGAAAAAGAAAGGAAAAGTTCCACCAAAGCATTCACCTTATTATGGTGCATTTCCAATGAGGATTTAGCCTGGTGTTTCTCTGTTTCCATCTACGCGGACTGGCACCCGTGTCTCTCTGGGCCATGGCTCCTGCGGACCTGCTCTAACCTGGAGCCAAGACAAGGCCCTGGGTACTTTTCAGTTTCATTTACATAACAATGGCTACCTGTGAACCAGGGTTTCCGTTCGAAATGTGGCGCCGAACATTTGACCTGCAACATTTTAATTTACCGGACATTTGAGAAATCTGCCGGACCAATATGCATTGGGTGCGAAACCTGATTAGGGCGTCCACCCACGGTGCTCAGAATGACAATCACATTTACATTATGGTAATTCATATTAACAGAACATGCAAGTTGAGGATGTAACGATGTGCGGTCCTTCTTACCAAATTCTGATGTGCACTTTGAAGATGTTAAAATAACTGTCCACATTTAATTTTCCTCAGCCAACAAGACGAGTAATGAACAGCAAAATCACTAGCCTATGTCAATCGACTATCCCCTATAGTAGAAAAGTTTACCTATTCTATTGGTCAGCTTGTCGAGAAATAAATAGCCTATTCTAAACACTCTGGGACAGTTGTGGGAAAATAGCAGAGTTGTGGACTCGAGGCACATGACTTGGACTCAAGTCTGACTCGAGTCACAAATAAAATAACTTGAGACTTGACTCGGGACTCTACTTTGACTTGAGACTGATGACTTGAAATTATCTGGCCAGGTTTTGTCACTCATTTTGTGGCACAGAGTCTACATGGATTACGCTACACGCAGCCAGAGACAGTAGCCGGAGCATCGCCTTAAAAAAAAAAAAAACTGCAACAGATTGGCTAGTGAAATGCGCACTCTGATTGGACCAGCAAACTGTCAATCAACACTGGTTGGGTGAGCTAGCGAACAGATTGATTTGCTCTACAGCTATAGGATCGGCGGGTGCAGACGTCAAATTGTAGGGAGAGGAGGATTGCCATGATAAATAAGCAGCTCCAAAAAATGTTGATCAAGAATATTAACGGTTTACTTTGCAAGCTCAACAGCAATGGGGCAACAATTACTAGCATAGGCCTACTGTTCTTTTGGTATGTAACAATTGCTTGACATTGATAATTTACATATGAAGCTTTCATTTGGAATTTGTTGTTAAAATGAATTATTACTGTGGCGCGGCTCTTCACTTACACTCTCCAAACTTCCGCCAGTGGAGAGTGCTTTTTCTTTTCTCTTGTTGAAATGTTTGCTGTTGCTTTCACATGTTTAAATGCATAGGCCCTATCTGGTAAATCTATATTCCATCTAATACTACAATAATTGCTAGCGTTTCATCATTCCATCCCTGTACTGTTTATTGCAACATGTTTGATAGACCTACGATACATTTTCAGTTTATAGGCAACTATTTCTTACCCTGCTCTGAGTGGGTGTGATGTTTACAGCAGTGGAGCTATAGGAGGACGGGCTCATTGTAATGGCTGGAATGGAATAAACTGGGGAGCACACCTCTATGGTTTAGAGGGATGAGGTGTTTGTAAACAACATGAAGAAACCAATCCCACTCCCCAGGAGGACCTGGAGAACATGGAGGCCAGAGAGAAGGAACAGAAAGAGCAGGAAGCCCAGAAGAGGCTTTTCGAGGGGCTCAAATTCTTCCTGAACAGGGAAGTTCCCAGAGAGTCACTGGCTTTTATCCTGAGGTGAGAACCAGCCCACTACCACACACACCCAATGTTGTATATAAACCCTGGATTGCTGATGCTATGTATTGGCCATCGAGAGGCTTTGAAACCTCCTCCCCAGTAGGAGCAGTCCTCCATAGGAATGAATGGAATTCTACAGTATTCCAATTACATTTATTTTTTGTTGTTGTAGTGGTACAGTAACATTAGTAATCTCAAAAGTATGCTTTAAGGAAAAAGTTTTTATATTAATGTTTAGCTCGCGTAATATAATGTAAAAGTATGCATTAAGATGTCTAATAGAATAAATGTCGCAAACGAATGTAGACATTAATAAATGCATTTCTATAGCATAAAATAAATTGCTTACAATGGTGGGGGAGTGCCAAGATGGAGGCAAGGTGGCTTCAACACAGCGCCCCCTATCTGTCCTCTAGTGTGTGTATCTAGAAATCATTGCACACACCCCAGCCAGTCTGGGCTGCTCGATCATGTTATGGCACCTTGCTTTGAGTAAAAGTAAGCTGAAGGTTTTAGGGACTGGTTCCATGCCACACGCACCTCAAAGAAGAGCTTTGATGCAGAGTGAAGTGAACCATTGTTTATTTTTATTGATCTCCATCCCTCTCTGTCTGACAGGTGTTTTGGTGCCGAGGTGTCATGGGACAAGTCCCTCTGCATCGGTGGTACCTACGACATGACTGACGAGACCATTACCCATCAGATTGTGGACAGGCCCGACATAGACAAGCAGTACATCAACAGGTGAACAGGGCCCGACGGATCTACCAGTTTATTTGCAGTCATTACAGCTGTTGCAAATGTCTTGCAATTCATAAAAGATCTTGACATGAATGATATATATTTTTTTTAACGGGATACAACCCAGACCCGGCACCAGAACGATCAGTTGGATGGGCATTTCATTTCCAATAAGGGGGTCGTCTTTTTTCAAGAGACCTCCTATATTGGCACTCGCTTGCGCGTTTACATATATTTTTTATGGACGTAATAGTGAAGACCATAGGCAGCTTGTGAGTTTCAAGTTTGGGAAGCTGACAATTTATCCTACCATTTCTACCGAGCTGCATGCCAGTTATGATTAATTTTATGTGTATTTTCGTGGAACAGTTTTATTTCAATAATAACGTTTCTCAAAATCATTGCCACGTGGTTAATCATAGAAATCTGAAGTAAAATGATAAACATCTAAAAGTTCAAATTCAACTATGGCGAGAGCACTAGCCTCTGCCATATGGACATTGATCCACTTTGATCCACTGGTGACTAAAGAAATGAGAGCATAGAACTCAGAGCTGCAGCAGTAGGCCTATAACTTCCAAGTAAAATACATAGTCCTAAAGCCGACAAATACAAACAGTAGAAAATATGTTGATAAATTCTCTATTCTGCCTGTCTGCCTCCCTTTCTATCTGTCTTGACTTGAGCTATTGCTAGTGAAGTGCAACATTGTATCAAATCATCACTTGGTCCAGCCCATTGCTAGCAAAAGTGCAAAATTATATCAACTAGCATTGGGCTTATACTGGACAGATTTTGGCGAGAGTGAGCCCTCTCGCTTCGCCTCTTCCTCTCTGCTGAAACTATATCACCGGAGAAAGCACCCGAGCGAGCGAAACAGTGCCCCTCTATATGTAGCCCATGTATCTGATGCTGTCTGGCCAGAAATAGTATGACATGCCATACTCCTTTGGTCCAAAACAGCATCAGACACATGGTCTACACATACTGAGACAGAGGGGCGCTGTTTCGCTGGCTCGGATGCTTTAACTGAGATTTATGCTTCTTTCTGTCGCGTCTCGGTCAAATACATGATCAATATTTCAATATTTTATTTGGACGGGCAAGGAGGTACGGTAGGGCAGGCCATAACGCCGGCCCTGATACAACCCCACCCTTCTCTTTCAAATCACCAAATTTCTATTCAGCCAAGCTATTTTCCAAGGCTACTTACAGACCGAAGGGACCAGAGGCTTTCTGTTTGCTTTCCCGGCTGCTAACGCTCACTCTGGTGGGGGGGGGGGGTTCTCCTCCTTCAGTCCCCCCACAGAGATGGGCTCAGCTCATCCCCACAATGCCCCCTTTCAGAGGGCTCTTCCTGCTCTGGTCGCTCAAAGCCCCCTGTTATCGGGGTGGGTGGGGGCGGGCGGCAGAGTCACGCGTGACAGACCATGTCCTCTTCCTTTATGCCTCTTCATAGAGCTTAGCTGTACACAGGGTACATAATGCCTCTATTATGGGCCTGCTAACTCCTGCCCACATTCATTTGGATGTTGTGTTTACATTCGACTGTTGTGATCAATGCATACGACACATCCACAACTTGCTAATGTGTAAATGGTCTCAAATCTTTATGGAATGTTGAAATGCTACTTTCAATGGTGGGTTGACTTAACTGACTGTGCATAAATATCCCAATGGATCCAACCTGGCACAATGGAATAGTCCCAAAGGTGCAAACCCCACCCATCTGGTACTCCAGACAAGTATTTGAAAGAAGACAACTATTATTTGAACCCAGTTTGATATGTATCTGTGTAGAAACCTTGTCCGTAAAGGAGACAGGCTGGTGTGTCTGATGGTCGTGTTCTGTTCCAGGTACTACATCCAGCCCCAGTGGGTGTTTGACTCGGTCAACGCCAAGATGCGCCTGCCCGTGGAGGACTACTTCCTGGGGGTGACGCTGCCGCCCCACCTGTCGCCCTTCGTGGAGGAGAAGGACGGCGACTACGTGCCCCCGGAGAAGCTGAAGCTCATGGCCCTGCAGCGCGGCGAGAAGCTTGGTAAGAGCTGAGCATCTCCATGGCTTCACATGTTTCTGTTGGGCCTGCATGATGAATATTCACATGTTTCTGTTGGGCCTGCATGATGAATATTCACATGTTTCTGTTGGGCCTGCATGATGAATATTCACATGTTTCTGTTGGGCCTGCATGATGAATATTCACATGTTTCTGTTGGGCCTGCATGATGAATATTCACATGTTTCTGTTGGGCCTGCATGATGAATATTCACATGTTTCTGTTGGACTTGCATGATGAATATTCACATGTTTCTGTTGGGCCTGCATGATGAATATTCACATGTTTCTGTTGGGCCTGCATGATGAATATTCACATGTTTCTGTTGGGCCTGCATGATGAATATTCACATGTTTCTGTTGGGCCTGCATGATGAATATTCACATGTTTCTGTTGGGCCTGCATGATGAATATTCACATGTTTCTGTTGGGCCTGCATGATGAATATTCACATGTTTCTGTTGGGCCTGCATGATGAATATTCACATGTTTCTGTTGGGCCTGCATGATGTATTTTGTGTATAACTAAAATATTCAACCATTTTTTAAAATGTTAATCTCAGTACAAGAGGAGGAGGAGGAGGAAGATGATGATGAGGAGGAGGAGGAAGAGGACAATGATGAGGTGGACGATGACGAGTTGACTGAGGAGAAGAATCTGAAGAAGATGGAGGATCAGCGATCCCATGGCAAGGTGAGAGAATTGTAGCAGTCTCTACACGTTTGACCATCTGAATGGCCTATTTCATCCAACATAAAACAACACTGTTATCATAAGGCATTGGCGTAGTGCACAATGGGAATAGGGTGGCATTTTGGACACACTAAGATGTATCTCTCCTGTCCCAGCAGACTCTGGCAGTGAAGGTGACCCCTGGCAAGGTGAGACCCTGGGAAACTGGTTCCGTGGGGAACAAGGTGCGCCTGGAGCAGGAGGAGAAGGCGGAGGAGAAGCGTCTGGCCATCATGATGATGAAGAAGAAGGAGAAGTACCTGTACGACAAGATCATGTTTGGCAAGAAGAGGACGACCCGAGAGGTGAGGCCCCTCCACTCCACACCTGCCTAACTGGCATGGCACCTCACAAGCCTCCCTCACTGCGTTCCATCTCCAGTCTGTACGTGGGTGTAGATGACTAGATAGACACGCCATGTAGCGGTCAGACCCATCAGTACTGAGCCAGTCTCACAGCCAGCCATATTAATATACATGGAGCTAGCAGTGGAGGACAGCTCATAATAATGGCTGGAATGGAGTCAATGGAATGGTATGAAACACGTCAAACGTGGTTTCCATGTGGTTGATTCCATTCCATTGACTCCATTCCAGCCATTATTATGAGCCGTCCTCCCCTCAGCAGCCTCCACTGGGAGGTAGAGAATCCGACCCGATTGGGCATTTTGGGTAAACTGGCAGTGTACTTTCCAGCAGGCTGCTCTCTCTGTGCCTAGTACCTACCTATTGAGCTGTAGGAATTATGTTTAACAGGGTTTGAATAGCCGTGCCCTGGAAAGCTTGCACACTTATTTTATTTTAAGCAAATCAAAATTTTTATGTAAATGTCATGTTATCGAAGAGTCCAGACACTTAAAAAAAAAAATATTAGCGATTTCGCCTGGTTTTGAGAAACTTACCCCACCCGCAATAGACTTCCTCTTTGCTCATTCTTCAGTATTGGGGCTACGGAAAAACATGAACAAAGGCTCCAAAAACGTCATTTTAGAAACGGCAAAGCTCTCAGTATAATGATGCAGTTCTTTAGATGTTGTACACACAACATTTTATCCGCAACATTATATTCCATTTGTGCGACTCGAGCGGTTTCCCCTAGCAGCTGTGCTGCTTCTCTGTGTAGCCTGCGCAGCGCAGCACAGCTTACCGATCGAGTCGCATATTTATCATACAAAAGAGCCCAAACTCCCAAGTGACTATTCAAATGTTTACTCAACGAAGATGTAACAACTGAATACACACGTTCAATACAGTGCAGTGTCTACTTATACCCTTAGCTCTCACCCCCTCCCTTCCACAAATATGTACTTTTCCATCACCCAGGATTTCTCTGTGCATATCACAGGACTTCTTATCAGTAAGGAGAGGCCTTGCCTCCCGAGTGGCGCAGTGGTCTAAGGCACTGCATTGCAGTGCTAGCTGTGCCACGGCTCTGTCGCAGCCGGCCGCGACCGGGAGACCCATGGGGTGGCGCACAATTGGCCCAGCGTCGTCCAGGTTAGGGGAGGGTTTGGCCGGCAGGGATGTTCTTGTCCCATCGCGCACTAGCGACTCCTGTGGCGGGCCAGGCGCAGCACGTCGCCAGGTTTACGGTGTTTCCTCCGATACATTGGTGCGGCTGGCTTCCGGGTTAAGCGGGCATTGTGTCAAGAAGCAGTGCGTCTAGGTTGGTTTTTGTTTCGGAGGACGCATGGCTCTCGACCTTCGCCTCTCCTGTGTCCGTAGGGGAGTTGCAGCGATGGGACAAGACTGTAACTACCAATTGGATACCACAAAATTGGGGAGAAAAACGGGTAAAAACAAAAATTACAAATAAAAAGTAAGGAGAGGCCTTGAGTTATTGGGAGTACACATTACTACAGTCCATAAGTCTTCTGATACAGAGTTTGAACCTAACAGCAATGTTCCCTCTAAGCTGCGTGCGCAGCTCCTCTCGGACTGCCGTGCAGAAGAAATATCAGCCCGTGCAGAGCACGAGATTGAACTTCACTCAACTTTCTAGAATTGATAGTTCACACTATCAACGTTTCTCTCTACTGTGGGAATTTTGCTTGAATCAATGCGATATTAGCCACTTTCAATGTAACCATACTGAAACAAAATGAACTATGCAAAACTAACTGTGCGAGAGATTTTCTTGTAGGTACCAATCAGAGCGGCATTAGGCCCATATGCAAATTGCCATATATGGATCTGTGCCATTCACTTTGAACTGGACTGTGTTTAAAGCATGAGCGGTCTCAAGAGCTACATTAGCCACATGTGCACAATTGTTCATATCCTTTGCTAGTTAGTGAGTTATTAGCTCAGTTATTGATAATTTGTAGTCAGCAATGGGGGAGTGATTGCTTCCTACAAGAGCACAAAACGTGTGCATTTCTAGCCCTTTGAAAAGTGAGTCAAATAAATAGCTATTTTTTTGTCTTAAAGGGGTAGTGTTGTATTTTGAGACAGGCTTGAATACGCTAAGTAGGCAGAAGGTAGCATAATTCTTCTGATTCTCTGTAGTAATGGTATGGGAATAATGATGCATTTTATTTGGTAAAGTTGTTTCTTGCATCAAACACAACAACAACATTCAGTCACCTCCTCGTCTGAAGGACAAGTGGATAAGCTGGTTAATGTCAAGCCCTGCATGCTTTTTTCAAAAGTCTCATAGACTGTAGGCCTACATTGAACACCACACATTGCTACTGTAGGCTGAATGATAGAACTGCTATTTCCATGTTAAAATGTTATGGGATGCATTTTCTCAATTTTTTTATTTTTATGGTAAGCCAACATTATGATCAAATAGCCACAGTAGCCTACTTGACCACTGTTAAAACTGTAACTTAAAGCGGGTACAGCCTCAGTGTCAACAGTAAACGTGCGCCAGAAGTCGCACAGAATTTTCAATGTTCAAGTTTGCGCTCGGCAGACCTGAAATTTGCTCAGTGCCTAAAAATTCTTTGGGGAACATTGCCTAACAGTACTTTTTATCTCTAAGGATATAAAAACAATCTATTCATAATAAAAATATATAATGATATAAAATGGTAAAGGTAATATAAAACAGTAATTTACAATCTATCAAATCCTTTAAAGGGCATGTGACCTTGGTTGCACACCCATGAATTCTAGAGTCACTCCACTGTTCATTAACTCAATCGGATTTCCCTTCGCAGGCAAACAAACTGGCTGCCAAGAGAAAGGCCCACGAAGACGCCAGCAAGGCAGAGAAGAAGCAGAAAAAGGCCAAGAAACTGTAGCCACCTAACAGTGGATATTCATCAAGGACTGCTTTTGATTTGTATGGTTGTCAATCATCAATCTCATGAAACTCATGGGTTTATTATGAAAAAATAGTATGAATTGGTCCCATGGAGATTGAGATCAGTGTTAGTATCATTTGTCACGAATGTTGGCAGGTAGAAATGCTGGAGGAGTCACATTGTTGCAAAATATTATCCACCCTGCCTCGTCAACCATTGTGAGGTGAATTTCTGCTTTGTTCTTATTTGTGTGAACTCTGATATTCTGGTCTACTCTATACAAGAAAGATTTTTCCACTGATTCACCCCATTTAAATATATTGAATATGTAATTAAATGGGGTTCTGTGTACTTAAGTAGAAGAACTTGTCAATTTACTGTTAATGACTCTAATAACATGAACGACAAGCCCCACTGTCATCAGGGAAATTAACTTTGTATGAAATCTATACTTTTTTTGTATACTTTTAAAGAGGTAGGACACTTTTTGCTTGATGTGTAATTCTAATAAATTGTTTTGTTTAAAGTGGCCCACTTCTTTGCGATGCATAGGGTAACGCTGAGTTACCCATGTGAACTTAATGTATTTTCTTATTTTCTGTCACATTACAACCTTTTCTCAAGACTTTCCATTATGGAAGTTTAAGTCTGTGTCCTATTGTAGTTAATGACTTCCTTCTATTCACTGTACCACTCACTGGGAGTCAAATAATGTATTGGTGCTGTCTGAGCAGCCTTCTGGGTTTCAAATATGCTGGTGGTGGCACCGTCAGACCAACTCTGATACCAAAGAGGTGGAATCTGACGCCACATCATGAGGACTGTGGCGTGGACAGAGGCTGAGGGTGCCATGTTACCACTCTAGCTTTTTCCACTCTCCTGAGCTGGCCTGATTGCTGAAACCATGATGTGAAAGCACAGTTTGGGTTGGCCCGCTTTGGGTAAATTAGGCATGTGGTGGGGGCTGAGTGTGGTCCACTGTCCTGGCCTGTGGGTGGTGATTACAAGGGACTGCCCTCTGATGCTGTGATCTCAGTGGGCCAGAGACCAGGCCAGTCATGCCCTCCCTCCCGCTATTCAATCTCCTTATTCACTGACTGACCCCCGACCTCCCCACTCACCAGCATGCCTCATCTGCATTCCACACATGCCCGCCCAGTCCGAGTCTCAGCCTGGCACTTGGAGCGTGTGCCCGCCAGGGTGCCCCACGCTCAACAAAAGGCTTGTGTTTAGACTGGTTGGTGGGTGGGTGGGACGATCAGTATGATCCCTCTGGATTGAAGGGCTACAGTGTGCAGAAAGGGTAAACAGTGCCCACCTCCCTTACTGTAATGGTCAGTGCTGTATGACCACATATTGTCACATCCCGTCTCCCAGAGCCAAATGGACTCCTCAATCCCTGGCTCGTATGGTCGTTCTCTATTGACATCGTACTGCTGCTGAATGGACGGTAGTGGTACAAAATACAGTGTTCCATATTCTCACGGGTCCAAAGGACTAGCTAGGCAAATTTCCATTGAAGTGCTTTTTAGTCCAGAAGTAGGTTTAGTCTGACAGGTAATCGGCCCTCTATTTGAAACTGAAAATGCATAATGAATAGAAAAAGCTTTTAGAAGCACAATCCATAATGTATAGTTTCAAAATATAAATAGGCTGTTGGTCCTTTAATTTGAGAATGGTAACATTTCTCCAGCCGTCCCTCAGCATGAAGTGAATTAAGGATTGTGGCTAGAATGTATTATGTACTGTATTCGCCACAAAACAAAGACCACATGAAATGCAATACCCATGTCTTTTCAGTTTATTTGGACAATAATCTATTGTCTGCGTCGCATCATGCCTAATAACAGCCCTTAGCTGTGTGTTATTTACGATAATCCATGGGTTCGCATGCCTTATAACTTAATATTATTCTATTCATCCAATTTTCATGAAAAATGGTCTACAGTATATGCAAAGCTTGCTAAAAAAAACGTTTGAACAGTACTGTTGTGAAACAGCAGGCTTGGAGAAGTTGGCACAATCGAGGTCTTTGTGCCTTGGCTCTCTGCATTTGTTCTTTTTATACTATTTGCTACCCCTCCTATCAGCTTGCAGCTCAGACTAGTGTCTGCTCTCAATAGCCTTCTGTATAGCCCATACCCTGCCCCCTCTCTTTCTCTTCATCTCTTCCTCTCCATCTCTATATCTCTCGCGTTCCCTCTCTCTCATTCCCTCTCGCGTTCCCTCTCTCTCGTTCCCTCGCATTCCCTCTCTCTCTTTTCCTCTCACTTTCCCTCTCTCTCTTTCACTCTCGTGTTCCCCCTCTTTCCCTCTCGTGTTCCCTCTCTCTTTCCCTCTCGTGTTCCCTCTCTCGTTCCCTCTCTCTTTCCCTCTCGCGTTCCCTCTCTCTTTCCCTCTCGCGTTCCCTCTCTCTCGTTCCCTCTCGCATTCCCTCTCTCTCTCCTTCCCTCTCACGTTCCCTCTCTCTCTTTCCCTCGCGTTCCCTCTCTCCCTCGCGTTCCCTCTCTCTCGTTCCCTCTCTCTCTTTCCCTCTCGCGTTCCCTCTCTCTCTTTCCCTTTGTGTTTCTCTCTCTCTTTCCCTTTGTGTTTCTCTCTCTCTCTCTCTCTCTCTCTCTCACAAGTCCTCTGACAGGGAGCCTGACGTCACAGATGGCTGTATGAACCTCCCTATGGAGCTCTATTCAGCTGGATCACTTTCAGAGTCGGAAGTGGAGCAGAAGAATCAGGTGTGTATAATCTACAGAGAGAGAAAGAAAGAGAGAGAGAGAGAGCACCTGCCAGATGAATGGGCTTTGGAGAGTTGGGCATAACATATGTAATAATAAGGAAAGTACTTGACCATGTGGTGGGGTTGTGACGGCATGTGTGACCCAACAAGAGCAGGCACAAGCCACCAGTGGACCGGACAGCTCCTCTGAGACTCACTGCTATGCTCTCTGAGGAGAAACAACTGTCCTAGGTTTTAACTTCAGTTGCATTTTTCATCTCACTGCAGTTGCGGGATTAATGCACAACAGGGTAAGTGTTTCACAAAGAGAATGATATGAGGATAATTTGAAAATGTAATTTATATAGTTTTTTGGTCTTATTCTTTGACAAACGGTTTAATAGAATGATTAGACATATTTTTATCTCAAGTTTATGAGCTCTGAAATGTGAGCTGAAAAAATTGTTTCTGCCATGCGATAGAGCAGCCAATTTTGTTTCATTCAGACAAGTTCTTTGGGCATTGCCAATGTGATGGAGTGCATAGTGACTTCGCCCTCACATCGAATGCTTTCCTGAATGTCTCTATTTGGGGTTCATTGTCCCGTATGTCAATATGTGCTTATGTGACTGAAGGTTATGACATCATTAGATAATGGATACATTACTGCTTATGAAATTTGTGGAGAGTGTGACTTTTACCATTGACCTTCACCTTACAATTCGATTTGAATGGTATTGTAAGCATAACTTCTTAGCACCTATCCATATCAGACCATACTTAGACAGTAGATACAATAAAACATTACACATTAACAGACACCTGCCCAACAAACAATAAAATGCCATTACAGTATACAGTGGGGTCCGAAATGATTGAGACCCTTGATAAAGAGCAGAAATGACTGTATAAAATAAATAATTCAAATACTGGGCTACAGGTAACTTCCAATATAACGGAAACGCTTGAGTAAATGAGGGATACAAAGTATTTTGAAAGCAGGTGCTTCCACACGGGTGTGGTTTCTGAGTTAATTAAGTAATTCATATCCCATCATGCTTAGGATCATGTATAAAAATGCCCAGTTGCCCATTATTTTGGCTACCATGGCTAGAAGAAGAGCTCTCAGTGACGGGTCTCAAAGGAGCATACAGGGTTTAAAGGGTGTGGGTGTGTGTGCGTGTGCGTGTTTGTCTGTGTGTGTGTGGCCAAAGAGCTCTATGTTCATGTCATCCAACAAATGTAAATGCCTGGAGTTTGCTAAATGGCATTGGCATGGATTGGAATTGGAACCGGTGCTTTGGTAGATAACATGAAAATAGAGCTCTTTGGCCAAGCACACCAGTGGTGGGTTTGGTGTCGAAATGAGAATGCATAAACATAAAATAATCCCATAGCTACTGTCAAATTTGGTGGTGAATCTTTGATATGGGGCTATTTTGCTTCCACTGTTCCTGGGGCCCTTGTTAAGGTCAACAGTATCATGACCTTTACCCAGTACCAGGCCATTTTTGCCAAAAACCTGGTTGCCTCTGCCAGGAGGCTGAAACTTCACCTCAAGTGGATCTTCCAGCAAGACAATAATCCCAAACACATATCAAAACCCACAAAGAAATTGTTAATTGGCCGCAAAATCATCATTTTGCAATGACCATCTCAGTCTCCGGATTTGAAACCCATTGAAAACCTGTGGTTTGAATTGAAGATGGCAGTCCATACGTGCATATGAAGGATATCAAGGATCTGGAAGATTTTGTATGAAGGAATGGTCTAAGATCCCTCCCAATGTGTTCTCCAACTCATAAAACAATTTAGAAAAAGGCTCAGTGCTGTTATCCTCGCAAAGGTGAGGTATTAAAAGGTATTGAAAGGTATTGAAAACAGGGGTGTCAATAATTTTGAAACCTACCTTTTTGAGAGAAAAAAAGTATTACTTGTTATTAAACAAAATCTATTTCTCTGAGCAATTGTATTACACTGAAAAATATATTAAACGCAACAATTTCAAAGATTTTACTGATAAATTCATTAGGCCCCAATCTATGAATCTATGGATTTCACATGACTGGGAATACAGATATGCACCTGTTGGTCACAGATACCTTATAAAAAAAACAGTCAGTATCTGGTGTGACCACCATTTGCCTCATGCAGCGCGACACATCTCCTTTGCATAGAGTTGGTCAGGCTGTCGATTGTGGCCTGTGGAATGTTGTCCCACTCCTCTTCGATTACTGTGCGAAGTTGCTGAATATTGGCAGGAACTGGAACATGCTGGCGTACACATCAATCCAGAGCATCCCAAACATGCTCATTGGGTGACATGTCTGGTGAGTATGCATGCCATGGAAGAACTGGGACATTTTCAGCTTCCAGGAATTGTGTACAGATCCTTGCGACAGGGGGCCGTGCATTATCATGCTAAAACATAAGGTGATGGCGGCGGAGGAATGGCACGACAATGGGCCTCAGGATCTCGTCACAGTATCTCTGTGCATTCAAATTGCCATCGATAAAATGCAATTGTGTTCATTGTCCGTAGCTTATGCCTGCCCATACCATAACCCCACCGCCACCATGGGGCACTCTGTTCACAACGTTGACATCAGCAAACCGCTCGCTCACACGACGCCATACACGCTGTCTGCCATCTGCCCGGTACAGTTGAAACCAGGATGAATTCGTGAATAGCACACTTCTCCAGCGTGCCAGTGGCCATCGAAGGTGAACATTTTCCCACTGAAGTCAGTTACAACGCCGAACTGCAGTCAGGTCAAGATCCTGGTGAGGATGACGAGCACGCAGATGAGCTTCCCTGAGACGGTTTCTGACAGTTTGTGCAGAAATTCTTCGGTTGTGCAAACCCACAGTTTTATCAGCTGTCCAGGTGGTTGGTTTCAGACGATCCCACAGATGAAGAACCCAGATGTGGAGGTCCTGGGCTGGCATGGTTACACGTGGTTGGCGGTTGTGAGGCCGGTTGGACGTACTGCCAAATTCTCTAAAACGATGTTGGAGGCAGCTTATGGTAGAGAAATTAACATTTTACTATCTGGCAACAGCTCTGGTGGACATTCCTGCAGTCAGCATGCCAATTGCACACTCCCTCAAAACTTGAGACATCTGTGGTATTGTGTTGTGTGACAAAACTGCACATTTTAGAGTGGCCTTTTAATGTCCCCAGCACAAGGTGCACCTGTGTAATGATCATGCTGTTTAATCAGCTTCTTGATATGCCACACCTGTCAGGTGGATGGATTATCTTGGCAATGGAGAAATGCTCACTAAAAGGGATGTAAACAAATTTGTGCACAAAATCTGAAAGAAATAAGCTCTTTGTGCTTATGGAAAATTCCCGGGATCGTTTAATTCAACTCATGAAACATGGGATCAACACTCCACATGTTGCGTTTATATTTTTGTTCAGTGTAGTATAAAGTAATATCATTCCCTAATTTTTTTGAGCATACAATATAGCTCAGTATTTGAATTATTTATTTTATACAGTCATTTTTGCTAATCTTTATCAAGGGTGTCAATAATTTCGGACCCTACTATATTTTTCACAGCGATCTTTATCTGAAGTGCTGACATCATTCGGGTTCAGAAATTGCCAGCAGGTGTTAAACGCAGTCCCCTGGGGGCCCCTCAGGTTTAATTCCAGGTACATCCCTCCCAGGGGCAGAGGAAGCACTCAGCCTAACGAAGCACACATCTATACCAAGGTCCATTTGCAGGTTAAACAGCTCCATGCAAAGTTCCCAATATATCCCAGTGCCTGGGCTGGCTCTGAGGGCAGGTAGAATGCCCCCTCACGTACCTCCATTACGGCCCCTTCATGGAGCTCCCAGACAAAGGAGCAGAAGACATAGCCCCACTTTCTACTTCATCACAGCTATTATCAGTGACAAAACTTTTTCATTTCCATCAGACAAAACATTTATCACACAAATGTCTGCAAAATTGGAAGGGTGATTCTAGCTGATGTTAGACCCAATTGTTCCCAGGAGATTTCAAAATTGAGGAAACTTGTCTTTGATCTTTTCGGGGAGATTTGGGAGCTTTCTGTGAAGTCAAGAGTATTTTGATAGAGCTTTTCTTTATTTGGTTTGTCTTTAGTATAGTTTCTCCACCCTGCTACAGGTGGAAACAGGGTGACCCATGTTATCTACTGAATGCTGACTTAGCTTCTGGGTCACTGTTGCTGCGTTTACACAGACAGCCCAATTTTGATATTTTTTTCACTAATTGGTCTTTTGACCAATCAGATCATCTCTGAAAAAGATCTGATGTGAAAAGATCTGATCTGATTTGTCAAAAGACCAATTAGTGGAAAAAATATCAGAATTGGTCTGCTTGTGTAAACGCAGCCTGTGCAGTCCGATCTGATTACAGACTGCAGGGTGAATAGCTGCAGACCCAGACTGGATCACTTTCCAGCACAATGCATTATTAATCTAAGGGATAGATGACACAGAAACTCAGGGTTTATCAGGCCATGCTGTAGCGTAGCTTCACTGTGCACTGTTCAGAGTAAAGGCACAGCGGTAACACGTTACTTAAAGCATGCAGGTATAATGCTTATAACTTGTTGTAAGTATGTTTAAGCCTTTATATTGTCTTACAATTAAGTCTCTCTATGTATAAAAATGCCAACTTAGATTATCATAAACTCTTGAGTCTATAGCTTTCATGATTAGGTGCTGGGACATGCACGTTCTTTGGACAATTTACCATTGGGCAGTTTTCTAGGAATTGTATAAAAAATGCAGTATGTGTGTTGAAATTATCATGGAATGCACTTTATTTTGTTTTTGTTTTTTATTTGTTCAATATAAACCTAGTAGTTGATGTGAAGTTATGCAATGCACACTTTAAGTGAATACATTGGCAAAACAACAATATTGCTTGAGAAATGTATGTCATTGAAACACAATGATCTAACAATAGCACATAACATGATGAGATATTTCGGTAACAATTTACTTGACATCCGGCGTCATAACACGTTATGACATGGTCATAACCTGTCATAATATGGTCATAACACTGTCATGACACATATGTAGACCTGTTGTGACATATATAGTGTTCTTTTATGGCTGGTAATGACCCCTACATAAGATTGTCAAAACCCACGAAACCTACCACACAAGGCAAAACATTCCATTACACCATAGCCTACTTGTCAACTGTTTGTTTATGTTATATAACATTTTCCGTAATTGACCATATTAAATTATCATTGTAATTGGGTGTACATTGATGTCATACATGCACCTACCCCAATGCTCTGTTGCTGATGACTGGGATGAATGCAGGAGCAGATTTCAGGAGCAGGACAAGACACCCTCTTTGTGACTGATGACTGACATAAGGGCATGTACGTGATAGGCCTATCTGGCTTATATGATTATGATGGTCATAATGCTTCTTGGCAGTGTCATAAAGTGTATTTTCTTAGTCCAAGTAAAGTGACACAGGATGGTCCTAATTCTTCTTGACAGTGTCATAAAATGTATTTTCTACAAGCTTTTAAAATTTGATGAAAAAAACATGACTGTGAAGAATTCATTACAACAACAACAAAGGAATTAAGAAACAAACTTTCAAATGAAAGGAAACTTATTTGCAGGGAAAAAACACATTTGAATAAATGTGGGTTTGACGCTCTTATGTAGGTGTCATAACCAGCCATAAAATAATATTGTGTTATGTTTTATCACAACAGGTGTAAATATATGGGTCATGACAGTGTTATGACCATATTATGACAGGTTATGACAAGTTATGTCAACTGTTGTGACATTATGACATGGTTATGACCATGTCATAACGTGGTAGGTGCTGGGTGTCAAGTAAAGTGTTACCCAAATTTCAATTAAGCCTAGAGATAACCAAAACGTATTGAACAGAGTGGATGTCTAAGAGTTGTTCCATTACCGGAGGCACACAATGTCCTGATTGGAAACAGCCATCTGACTGAGCTGCTGTGTGTGTTCCCAAATAATTGGCCACAGGAGACAGTGGATCCAAGGGACTAGCACAATCCATGTCAATTATAAAGTTGAGGTCATCGATGAACCATAATCTTAGAAGATTTCAGGACTGCCAGTCCATTGTTTTGGTACACTGGATAACTTCAACTTATTTTTCCTTCAGATAACTTCTATTTGGAACCATGGTTGGCAAACAGGGGAGGCAATGGAGGTCGTTGTGCAAAGGCCTTGTCCTGGGTACCCTACTCACTAGCTGTATGATCCTGCTCTACTGCCTTTCTGGGCCACAGGCCCAATTCAACCTGCCTGAGTAAGCAGGGGATGTTGGTGCAATGGTTGGGCATCCTTTGCAGTAGATAACGCATCAACAACATTCAGTAGCATTATACAGTGCATTCTGAAAGTATTCAGACCCCTTGACTTTTCCCCAAAAAAAATTACGTTGCAGCCTTATTCTAAAATGGATAAAATTACTTTTTTCCCTCATCAATCTACACACAATACCCCATATTGACAACGCGAAAACAGGTTTTTCTATTTTTTTGTGGAAATGTCTAAAAACCAGTTTTCGGTTTGTCATTATGGGGTATTGTGTGTAGATTGATGATGGGGGGGGGGGGACAATTTAATTCATTTTAGAATAAGGCTGTAACGTAACAAGATGTGGAAAAAAGGAAGGGGTCTGAATACTTTCTGAATGCACTGTATATGATATAGCCCACAGATGATACAGATAACTTTATTTGCCATATTAATGATTGTAGTAATCTACTGTACTATGAGAGGCAAAAGGAGTTTTGCAGTCTTCTACAACATTGCATAATAGTAAATCAGTCTATAATGTTGGTAATTTCATAATGTGTTGTATTTGTACGCTTACTCTCCATAGGGGTCCAGTGCCTTACTCCTGTGCCCATCGACCTGCTCAAGCCCACACCAGACTTATCACAAACAGCTCCCACCATGCAGCGGGGCAGACAGGCATCTGCACTCCCAAAGTGGACATCATGTTCATGAAAACCCACAAGACAGCCAGCAGCACGCTCCTCAACATCCTCTTCCGATTTGGAGAAAAGCACCGGCTAAAGTTTGCCTTCCCAAACAGCCGTAACGACTTCTTCTACCCCTCTCCATTCCAGAGCTCCCAGGTCAAGGACTACAGGCCTGGCATGTGCTTCAATATCATCTGCAACCACATGCGCTTCAATGCACCTGAGGTGGCCAAGGTGCTCCCTACAGACACCTCCTACATCACCATCCTCAGAGACCCGTCTGAGCTCTTTGAATCCTCCTTCCACTACTTTGGCCGCCTGGTGCCCATGACCTGGAAAATACCAGGCGAGGACAAGGTGGGGGAGTTCCTGCGCGACCCCCGCCACTACTTTGACCCCAATGGCTTCAACTCCTTCTACCTCAAGAATCTGCTGTTCTTCGACTTTGGGCAGGACAACACTCTGGAGCTAGGCGACCCGCGGGTGGAGGAGGGCATCCGGGCCATCGCAGGCCGCTTCCAGCTGGTCATGTTGGTGGAGCACTTTGACGAGTCCCTCATGCTGCTCAAGGATGCCCTCTGCTGGGAAATGGACGACCTGCTCTTCTTCAAGCTCAACGCCCGGAAGGGCTCCACCGTGTCCAAACTGACCCCGGAGCTGAGGGCCAAGGCCCTGGAGTGGAACGCCGTGGACTGGAGGCTTTACCAACACTTCAACGCCACCTTCTGGAGGAAGGTGGAGGCATACGGACGCCAGCGGATGGCCGACGATGTGGCGGAGCTCCAGAGGAGGAACGCAGAGATGGCGGCCGTCTGTATCGAGGGAGGCCATGCTGTGGACGCAGGGAGCATCCAGGAGACAGCCATGCAGCCCTGGCAGCCCATCGGGGAGAAGTCTATCATGGGCTACAACCTGAAAAAGAATGTGGACAAGGCCCACCGCAAGCTGTGCCTTAAGATGCTCACCCCAGAGCTGCAGTACCTGACAGAGCTGGGGGTCAACCTTTGGATCACTAAACTGTGGGGTCATGTGAGAGACGTTATCAACTGGTGACTAGAGGGTCACTAGAGAGACACGAGCAAGAGGGGCCAAGAGAGCATGGCTGTGGCTGTGTGCCTGCTTGTGTGAGAGCCCCTATTGGATCGCATATGACCTCCATGGCCTGAATGCCTGCATAAGATCATAGGGGGTTTTGTTTTGCATAGCCTCCTCAATCATCGCATGATGAACTCTTCCTCTGTGTCAGCAGTATTGACTTGTTTGCCTTAAATAGAGTACATGTTTGTAGTATGTAATGTACCTGACAGGTGCTTGAGAACCGCAACGTTTGCGTTAGAATCTGAAGATAAGCATACCTCTTTAAAACGTGTTTGTGTTTATAGGTATAGCATACTGAATACCCTTTATACCCTCAGCCCTGCCAATCTTAGAGTATTTTTTAAATAAAGACTAAATTAAAAAGATGTCTGTTGATTTGCTTTATCAAGGTTGTTCGCAAAGTTAAGTTAATGTCTTGATGTGCATTTTGCTTTACTTTTCAAGACAGATATCTAGAAATCACAATATCTCTATTTTACACCCACTTTAGAAGTCATGCTAATAACACCAGATTATGTAATAACTTGTAATAATGTACTACTTTTTTCTGGATAATGTTATACATCACCAGATAACGTAATTGTTGAACAGATAACATAACTTTTTCTTGATAACATTACATTTTTCTGTGATTATTCTGTAAATAAAAAAGTAGTAGACCAATTAGTAGAACATTTGTAGAAAAAAGATCAGAAATAGGCTGCCCATGTAAAAGGCTATTTTCTATCCACTGCTTATGTCTTTGATTGGTCGGCTTCGTGGAGGGGGAGGAGCGTGGTTGGCAAGGGAAACAGGTGTGGGCAATAAGTAAATAAAAGACATACAAAATTATTGTAAGTAGAAGAGTATAGGATAAGATAAAAGGTAGAAATATAAGATTATTTCTTCATTTAAAAATGTTTTGGCTACAGCCCCTTTGTGTGTGAATTGTCTTGCTTCTTTTCTTCTTGATGGGTTTCATTTGGCTTTCATGTGTTGAGTTTAAGGTTGAGTGTTTAGATCTGAGCCTGGGTCAGGGAAGGTGTCTGGTGGGTGGGGGCTTAGATAGGAACCTTGTTTAGGGTAAGGGATACGGGGGGTTTGGGTATGGACTCGATTTAGGATAACTAAGGGGTATAGTTGGGTTTTCTTGTAGGTCAGGTGTCCAGTAGGGTGAAGAGAGGAGTGTCCTTGTAATTAATGCTTCTTCAATTGTTTTCTTTACTGATGGGTTATTTTTTGCTTTGGAAATGTATTGTTTTCCTAACAGGTCCAGGCATTCAGTGATGGTTTTCATGCCAGAGATATCATGGAGGTAGGTAACAGGTAAGTTGCTTGGGAGGCGGTAGGCTGCTCTTATTGCGGTGTTCTGCATGACTGGTAGTTTGTTTGTTTTTGAGTTTGGCTGATGACGTTTTCCAGGCTGGGGAGGAGTTCTCGATAACAGGCCTGATTTAGCTCCGGTACACTTTCAGTATTGTAGTTGCTCCAGGACTCCTCCCACAGGGCTTTTAGATGCTTTATTCTTATTTATCCTTCGGTTTCGAGGTTTTGAATGTGTATTGTCAATTTCATATCTTGCTGGAATGTCACCCCCAGGAACTTTGCGTTTTTTTCTGTCTTTAGGTTGTCTTTAAACTGTATAATTGATCAATGCACCATCATACCAGGTAATTTAATGCTTAAATACAAAGAAATTGATGAATAAGATATTTGGCTACAGAAGTACCATTTCTTACCGATCTCTACAGCTTTGGTCCAAAAACAAATCTTGTGAAATGATGTCAACACATGCTGGAGGAGTTATTGGCTAGCTACAAGTGGCTAGCTTAGCTAACGAACTAGCTACGTCGGTCGCGGCGTGGCACAGCGCGCATGACCAGAATGAGACATCGATGAATCACCAAAAGGCACACCCCATTTCTGTTAGAAAATTTAGAAAGAGGAGTTGGAAAGTTTTACATGCCCAAAGTCAACCTTTAAAGTCCAGGTAGCAGATAATGGACCCTAACATATATTTATGTAGTTGGTGCTGTACACTGAGTGTACAAAACATTAAGAACACCTTCCTAATATTGAGTTGCACCCCCACTTTTGCCCTCAGAACAGCCTCAATTCGTTGGAGCATGGACTCTACAAGGTGTCGAAAGCATTCCACAGGGATGCTGGCCCATGTTGACTCCAATGCTTCCCACAGTTGTGTCAAGTTGGCTGGATGTCCTTTGGGTGGTGGACCATTCTTGATACACACAGGAAACTGGCGTGAAAAACCCAGCAACGTTGCAGTTCTTGACACAAACCAGTGCGCCTGGGCCTGGCACCTACAACCATACCCCGTTCAAAGGCACTTAAATATGGTGTCTTGCCCATTCACCCTCTGAATGGCACACATACACAATCCATGTCTCAATTGTCTCAAGGCTTAAAAATCCTTCTTTAACCTGTCTCCTCCCCTCCATCTACACTGATTGAAGTGGATTTAACAAGTGACATCAATCAGGGATCATAGCTTTTACCTGGATACACCTGGATACACCTGGTCAGTCTATGTCATGGAACGAGCATAATGTTCATAGTGTTTTGTACACTCAGTGTATATTAACTGAACAATAATATAAATGCAACAAGCAACAATTTCAAAGATTTTACTGAGTTACAGTTCATATAAGGAAATCAGTAAATTTAACGAAATGCATTAGGCCCTAATCTATGGATTTCACATGACTGGGAATACAAATATGCATCTGTTGGTCACAGATACCTTAAAAAAAGGTAGGGGCGTGGATCAGAAAAACAGTCAGTATCTGGTGTGACCACCATTTGCCTCATGCAGTGCAACACATCTCCTTCGCATAGAGTTGATCAGGCTGTTGATTGTGGCCTGTGGAATGTTGTCACACTCCTCTTCAATGGCTGTGCGAAGTTGCTGGATATTGGCGGGAACTGGAACACGCTGTCGTACACGCATCCAAACATGCTCAATGGGTGACATGTCTGGAGAGTGTGCAGGCCATGGAAGAACTGGGAATTTTTCAGCTTCCAGGAATTGTGTACCGATCTTTGCAACATGTGGCCGTACATTATCATGCTGAAACATGAGGTGATGGCGGCGAATGAATAGCATGACAATGGGCCTCAGGATCTCATCACGGTATCTGTGCATTCAAATGCAATTGTGTTCATTGTCCGTAGCTTATGCCTGCCTGCCCATACCATAACCCAACCACCACGGGACACTCAGAACATTGACATCAGCAAACCGCTTGCCCACACAACACCATACACGTGGTCTGTGGTTGTAAGGCCGGTTGGACATACTGTCAAATTTTCAAATGGCATTGGAGGCGGCTTATGGTAGAGAAATGAACATTATGTTTTCTGGCAACAGCTCTGGTGGACATTCCTGCAGTCAGCATGCCAATTGCACGCTCCCTCAAAACTTGAGACATCTGTGGCATTGTGTTGTGTGACATAACTGCACATTTTAGAGTGGCCTTTTATTGTCCCCAGCACAAGGTGCACCTGTGTAATGATCATGATGTTTAATCAGCTTCTTGATATGCCACACCTGTCAGTTGGATGGATTATCTTGGCAAAGGAGTAATGCTCACTAACAGGGATGTAAACAAATGTGTGCACAGAATTTGAGAGAAATAAGCTTTTTGTGTGTATGGAAAATATCTGTTATCTTTTATTTCAGCTCATGAAACATGGGACCAGCACTTTACATGTTGCGCTCCTATTTTTATTGAGTGTATATGGGTTCTAACTTGAACAATTATTTGTTAGTTTACAATTACAAAATGTATGCTCTCCGCATATAAAAACCACGAAGACTGCCGGAAAGGCACGAAGGCAAGATCGTAATTTTTGACTCACACCGTGAGCCTACTGTACTAAAACGTGAAGTTGTACTTCACGTTTTAGTATGGAAAACGGCTGTGAGGATTTTGTTAGAAATTGCGTAATTCAAATCTGGTATTGGAATAAGAGAAAACATAATCAAGAGATATTCAATCCAAGCTAAATTTATTATATGCAAAATGTATGTATGATAAGTATGAAGGTTCGTATACGGGCTCACTGAAAAACCACGCAGGGCAGACAGAGAACTAAACCATTGTTTACAGGTACTTTCTCAAATACTCTGACAGAGAGTTCCCACCTCTTCTGTTGGCCAATCAGAGTAAAGGACTGAGTGTGGTTTAGACTTTACTCAGCCAATCCGTTGGCGCATGGGTTAGTCCCACCCCTTGGCGCTCCACCGTTCCCAGGCATAAGTTGCTATCATAATAACCTGTAGAGTCAGCACCCAAAAGACTGTACGTTCCTACATCCAAGGATGGTTCACAGACAACGGTTCACAGACAACAAAACGGCAGTGTTCGTATCTGTAAGAAATACAAGTCTTATCTGTCCTTACCCTAACGTTCCACACATGAATCACAGCCTGTTATGTGAAACAATTTATATCAGTATAGTACAAACCTATGCTCCTCATTAATGCATTCCTTCTAAGCTATTCATCACTTCAATCCAATTATTAGAAAACAAATCCCAACAATCCCCCTTTTGACACCCTCTAGGGTGTCACTCATTAAAATACAATACAAACAAAAAGAATCACACTTTTATTAATAGACAATTTGATAATAAAAGGCCTTCAGTCCTTCCATCTACACCCAACTTGCAAACGGTTGGCTACAAGTCACCCAGGCACTTCAAACCTTCACATAAGGAAAGACAAACATTCCCAATGGTTAACTTGATTAATAAAGCATAAAACACAGGATTAATAGAACACAAAACATAAGATTATTAAAACATAAAACACCAACAGGGAAGTAAATTTTGGCCCCCTTTAGACACCCTCTAGGGTGTCACTCCTCCAAGTCTGGTAGGTCATATCCTTCATTCCTTAGGTCGGAGTCCGGGATTGGGCCGTATCTCACCATCTGTTTGGAAACCACCTTCTCCATCTCCTTTTCTCACCAACCCTCAGACACAGGAAATAAGACAACATCCACAAAGAACAAGTATACCCATAGAAGCTATAACTTCACCCAGAATTGTTACAACAATAGTTTTCCATTTACCAAATATGTTATCAAACCAACCGTTTATCGAGCTATCAATACCAGAGTTCTCAGCCAGTTCGTTCGCCAGCGTGGTGAGTCCCTCAAGCGCTTTGGTCACGGACCCGTCCGGTGCTGTGTTGTTGGAGATGAAAGTACAGCACATATATCCAAACAGAACACAAACCCCGTCCCGCTCAGCCAAAAGCATATCTAAAGCTATTCTATTCTGCCATGTCATTAAGCTAGTTGCCGCTGTCTGCTCAGCTAATCCCTTTATTGCATCACGAGTGTGGTTTATAAATCTTTTGCTGGTTATATTAAATATAATTTATCCAATC